AATCTTTAGTAAAAGGTAAGTTAGTTCGAGAGGTCTATGAAGAAGGCATTTATTTAGAAAGGTAATATTTAGGAATAGATCTGACATAGATTAAGAGGAACACTAGGTATACCATGCAGTAGATAGTAATGGGCTTTTTTTAACATTTTTTTTTATTACAACGCTATTAGTCTAATAGTAAACATTAATAAACGACTATTTTTTTAATATGTATACGATTTAAAGAGTAGTTATTTTTAAACGCACAGGATGAATATAAAGTGACGTCATTTGCTTGTTGACAGTCGATATTGTGCATGACATGATATTGATTCGAGAGTTTCCAAGTATTGTTTTCTATTTACGGTAAGAGATGATAATTTATCTGTAATAGTTATTAAAAGTACGACGGAGTAACTTTATGTAAGCTGATAGCGGTTGAACTTAACCAAAGTAAAAGCGATTAAAACAAAAACCTCCTTCCCAAGAAGAGGCCTATGTCCAGCAGTGGACTACTAAAGGCATATTCCCTCTAGTATGTTATATATTGACCTTAGTCCAACAAATAGATACTATGTGTAAATGTATATACTACTTTCTTTTCTATTTCCTAATACACAAGCCACCACCTAATACCTCCTCCCCTTCCTGTTTTCTCTCCATACCACGGTTGCCTGTAAGAGATTGCCTCTGAGCGATAAGGCCGCCACTTGTACTAACCTAGTTTAAGATTATTATTGTATATTTAAATCTGGTGTACAATAAAGCGATATATTATTATTATAAGGGCCGTTGATTGTGATGATGGTGATGAGAAGAGATTATGGTAAAATATCTTCCAATTCGAGCTGTATTCTTTAAATTTATTTGTGTTGATAATTAGTATTTTAAACTTTATTATTGATTCAGATTTAACAGACAGATACAAAAGCGGTAGTAGTGTTACGTTTCTGCTAATGAAATGATTCATATCAGCAGGACCTTAACAAAAACTGCGCCTTTCACACGTGGGAAAATGGGCGATCTACTTCAAGATTGGCCAGAAATTATGAATTGCATGGGACTCCCATAGGATCGCCAACAATAAAATGGTCATCAAATAGAATCATTTATTGTTTATTTTGTAATTGGTTCTCCTTTAAGAAGGGACATAACAAACTAAGAAACCTAAAGAAATATCTAAATGAAAATTTTAAATGGTTAGTTAATATAATTTGAAATTTTGTGAATAGTTTTATATTAAACTATCATTTTTGTTTGCTAACAGTCATGTAATTATAACAAAATTAACGAAAATGAAGCCGCTATGATCAATGATCATAACATTTCGACATTTTTCAAAAAGACAAAATTATTGAAATTCTAAAGTTTCTCAAGCTAAGAACGCCAAAGTCAAACGTATTATGTAAAAATCGACGTTGAAATGTATTAGGCCTCTTGCACTAGGCATTATTACTTAGTGTACGCATCTAGCTAGTTGGTACGCGACTGCAGCCCATGAGGCCGCGGGTTCGTTCTCGGACCGGGCAAAATTTTATAAGGCTTTTCTGAAAGGAAAAATAGCCTAAGTGAATCCTTATATAGACAGTTACCTGGTGATAAAATATTATCAAAATCGGTCGAGCCGTTTTATAAATTACCCGGAACAAACAGAAACAGACAAAAAATATTTAAACTGATTTTTAGGCATAGGTAGCGTGCAAATTACCGTGTAAACATGAAAAAACTATTATTTTCACATTACAAACAGAAACTTCAATTTGTTTTTATGTTAGAAGGGGCAAATGAGCAGAAAAGTAACCTGAGGGAAAGTGACCCGCCCATGAACGTCTGCAACTCAGGAGTCACAAACGCGTTGCCGGCGTTTTAGGAAAGAGTACACTCTTTTCTTGAAGGTTTGAAGGTCGTATCGGTCCGGCAATACAGCAGAAGGAAATAAAAAATACGTATTTTATTGATTTGTATAGATATGTAAGTTTATGAGCAGATGCTATAAGCACGTGGTAGTGCACGTGTAAGAACATAATGTAAGTACATTGATGACACATTTTATTAAAAGAACACGTGTTGTCTAACAAAAATTTCTCATCCGAGAGATATAAGTAATTTGGAAGTTATCTTAGACAATAATATAGCCATTGTATTTAGTTCGATAATGGACAAAGAAATAGATACCACACCAATTAACGACGAACTTACAAACACAATACAATAAGCACAAATACACACAAAGGATTTTAACTTTCATATTGTGCTTATTGTGGTGTCGTAAGTCAGTTCGCCCGCTTAAATTTTCTTTACATTTCAAAGTATGTAATTGTGCTTTGTTTAGCCTATTCTTACACCTTCTCTAGGGTACAGTGATATCAACCCTTAGCTATGCTAGGAATTCCTTGAACCCAATATAAAAAGCCGACGAAAAGTATTGTTTAGGGGAGATAATTTATTACTAACAAAAAAGCACCTTATGGTCCTATGGCTGTATTGCAATAACCTAGCGGCACCATTGCGGTCATGTTAAGAGATGTGAAAGACTAAAACATCTTTATATCGTCAGATAACATTTCCGTCCAAAAGCACTTAAGGAAAATAAATTGGATTCAACGATCCATCAAACGTTGGGCCCACACGGGAGCGACTACAAAACAGCTGGTTTCATGTGATTCAAACGGCGTCGTATCGCCATTTAATCGCGCTTTTTTGTAAAGTTAAGGACCATATTGATTCATAACAACTATTTATCTTGTACGCCTAATGTTACGTTAATATTTTAGAAAAGTACAGAAACAATTATGATGTGTAACATCTACCCTCTCGCTTTCATAGAAGTTGTGGAGTTAATTTGTGAGAAGGGACGGCAGTGTGGAAACCCGGGAAGCTATGTGATTTGATAAATGAGCGGGCTTTGTCCCTACTTTCTGAACTCTTGGATATCTTCTAACCATTATCACCCACATTGACATCACTAACACAATCACATCCTTAAAATGCGTAACAAGATAAGACAATAAATTAATATTCTTCAACTATCTCAACTAATTCTTTGTTATACGTCAGCTTCAAATTCCAACGACGCAATGCTCGACTTTTATCTATTTAGCTCTATAATTAAGTACATAGTACGAAACCGATAAAGGTAATTAAATACATGCATAACAAATTTTGTTATGCATGTATTTCCTTAAGAAATACTCAAGGAACAAAATCCTATGATACATATTAAAAGTTCAGGCTTTTAGTTATAAGGTTTTCGATCAGAAATTGTTAAGTTGTAGTAAATATCTGAAGTTCACGAAATCGAAAGTCATGTATTGAAATTAGACTGAGTGTCTACTTTTTTATCGTCATAAAATACGATGGATACATTTCCACAGCTTAGTTTTTGCAGCAAACTTGAACTCGTTATGTTATACTAATTACGCATGTGTATAACAGTGTGAACTAGGGATGAGTGAATGCAGAGATTTCGTAATATCGACACGAGACAGCTTTCTTAAAAGTTAAAGTCTAAGCGGTATATCGTATTTCAAATAACGGTGCAACTAATTACTCCAGATTTCAGGTAAAAAAGCAAGCAATTATTTTTTTAATACAACTTCCGCATTAGGAATATCTCCTGTGTCGCGGGGAATTTACAAACATACATGAAACGAACACAAAGAACACCCAGACTCAGAACAACAATTTGTAGATCACACAAAGTGTCGTCCCTTGTGGGGATCGGACCCACGACACTCAGCGTAGTAGTAAGCGGCGTGGTAGTTGATAAGTTTTTATTAACGGGATATTTATCTTGTTTATTTACGGGTATTAGTATCCGATATTTCGGCACTTTTATTTTACTGTATTATTTTCAAATTGTGATTACAAAGGTTGTATGAAAGACACGTCATAGAAGCGATGTTTGTATTGATTATACCATAATCTTTAATATGTCATGGACTTCCGCCCTTTTTGAAGTCATTAGAATAAGAATTAAAAAGAGTGATAAAAACTGTTGACGATGCTATTTGAAGTCAAGTTTAAAATTATAGAAGGTCGTTAAGATTAGATTAGATACACTGTGGGGCGGTATTTAATTCCGGATTAAATGCTACCAACAAATACTTATGTATTTATTGTAAACTGGTCATCAATAAGTTATACATAAAACTTACTAAATGGTATTAAAAACAGGATTACCTATTTTTTAAGGTACACTCACTCACGTTTGTAAACATGGTAAAAGAAATACCTGGTCAGGTTAACATGATTGTTTGTTATTAATATTAATATTCCGGTAAGTATATTATTTTACGTTTACATATGTGTGAACTGTAAATAACTCGTTTCTTAACTCATACATTTGTAAATTATTATTATTTCAAAATCATTCTGCGTTCATTCATTATAAGTTTCAATTTCTCTAGCAATAGTTCATTAAAATCAGTTATTTCGTACAGTTGTTATACAGTCGTTCCACTGTACGTTACGTACGTTTGCCGTGTGTACCTCAGAAGGTATGTCCAAAGGACTCGCCTATACCCCAGGGGCGTACTGACCTCCTTAAATTTGCAAATTACAGATTACCGTTTGGTTACACTCACGTAACAGGGTTAATCTATCGCCGTCAATCGGATATTTTGGTAACTAGCTGCCGCTTTTCTTCTTCGCTCTTCAATATAATTGTTATATTTCAGTCAATTTAGATAAAAACATCATGAATGTATAACTGTATAAACACCTAAACCTTCCTCAGGAATCACACTATTTATTAGTGAAAACTGTACAATAATTCGTTCAGTAGTTTTTGAGTTTATCGCGTTCATACAGACAGATAGACGCGGCCGGGGGAATTCATTTTATAATATTTAAGGATTAAAGATGGGGGAAACCTTGGAGTACATATATTAAGAGAATGGAGAATTTTATCGGTGTAAGAAACATGTTTTTATCTATCTCTAATCATCTTCCCTTAGTTAAAAAATGTTCTTTTAGTGTTCCGTTTTGAAGTTTAAAATAAATTAAATTGTAGAACTCACCTTCTGTCCAGCTGCATACCATCATTGACGTCGATCTTGCCGTCCATGGTTAGCTTGTAGTATATCCTTGCAGCAGCCTCCGACCGGTCGTGGTTGGCGTACATAAAGCCGTGTAGCTGTTGCAACATGTTCAGACTTAGCTTCCAAAGTCCCTTGCTCATCTTCGGCGTGCATGTTACGAACCTTTGGACAGAATATACCAAGATGAGTGAAAAAGAATAATGTGTCTATATCTATGACTTCTTTCACAAGGTTAAGATCCAGCTACGCGGGACCTTTAATAGTATATTAAAAGTCCTTTTTAAAAAACTTGAACCGACTTTAAACAACACTAACAAAGAGCACTAAAAACCTAGAAGCAGTCACAGTTGATTTGCTGTCATTTGTTGAGGAGTTCCCTTGTCTGTCTCCGAAACTCATCATCAAATTTAAATGAGACCATTTCGGAATAAACCCCTTTCAAACAAAAAAGAATTTTGAAAATCCGTCTATATATGACAGAGTTATAAAATTGTTAAACATTCAAAACATACAAATAAAAAAAACATCTGATAACCTCCTCCTTCTGTCATAGGCCTGGCCTTTATTACGTAAATAGGCCCAAAATTATAGTTTACGAAATGTGGGCGTTTAATAAAATCCAAACTGTCTTTCGGATGAGAGTGTATGTATATACTTATGACTATGTATTACAAAATATTGTGTCAATAGTGTTTTAAATGTAATTGTGTGCAGTGCACTGCTCATAACAGAATGTTATTATAAAGTTTGTAAACACACGTTCCCAACACGCTCTTATCTAGAGCTAAGAATGTCGAACAAGTAGTTTTGTTTACAGAAATAACATTATCGTAATTCCTGGCCCCATATGTGGTCAGCGAGATTATTAGCTTGTGAGTGGATCGATATTGTATCGTATGATGTACCGAGTTATCTAATAGTCTTAAATACACTACGTCTCCTTGTAAGAACCTTGGCAGAAGATATAACTTTTTCAATATATTCTTAATTTATAAAGTAAGTGGTATGTGTACTGGTCGTACATTTGTTATAAAGATAATAATCAAATTGTAATTTATTATCTGAAATTGAAACAGGCCGTAAAATTGAAAAAATAGTTCTTTAACAATCTACAATACAAATTTGTGCGGTCGATTATTGCAACTCATCCATTACATCATTACTTTATTATCACTTTTTTTATGGAATAGGGGGCAAACGAGCAGGCGGGTCACCTGATGGAAAGCGACTACCGCCGCCCATGAACACCGGCAACTCAGGAGTCACAAGATCGTTGCCAGCCTTTGAGGAAGTATGAGGAGGAGTATGCTCTTATCTTGAAGGTTTGAAGGTCGTATCGGTCCGGAAATGCTTTACATACATAATGTAGCGTAGGTGTATTCGTTATCAATAAACTAGAACTTGGTTCCACATAAAGGGCAAGCTCACTGCGTCAACTTTAGAATTTTAAATGTAGAAATTGATTAATTTCGTTTTTTTTTTCTATTTGTCTATTAAAAATGACTAAGGCCAAACAAGGACTAAGGATAAACACCAAAGAGAAGGTAAACTTGAAAAAAACCTACTCGTGTGACCAGCGTGGTATAGTTGGTCAAAACCTTCTCTCTAAGGATAGGCCTACGTCCTAAGGCTATTTTGATGATGATTATCAAGCACTATGGTAGGACAGTCGAGTATATCATGCCTTAACAGAAAAAAAACATTTAACATAATACAAAAAAAAAAAGCTTTATATTGTAATCCAAATGCTTTCAAAATCTACTTAAAAAGTAAATAGTAAACGTAATTACAAATCTATTTAAAAACTAACAATTACAGATGAAATAAGCCTTGTTCAAAATTTAAAATTATTGTTTAAAGTTACTGCCCAACGTCTATGATTGGTATTAACGTAATGTTATACAGCAGGCAACCATCACCTTATACGAGTACACCATGTATGGAGACAATATTTTTGCACAACCCTTGAACACCGCCTCTGTGGTTAATCCCAAAAAAATGACCCGGACCTAGCAACCTTAACCCCAACATATAGTAAATGTTTATATTCTTTTTACGAATTTAAAGAAATTGTTTTAATCGTTGGCGTATGGCATATTTATGTTTACACGGTACATATGCCAAAATAACATTTTTTACAATTTTTGTAACACGTTTTTGTAACATGTTTGTAACACCGCGGGTCTCAGCTAGTTTATAAATAAACCAGCTGAGACCCGCGGTGTTACCCGCGTTTGTTGTTATAACCGCGAGCAACGCCGCGGGGCGAAGCTAGTCTAAAAAAAGTAGCCTAAGTTACTCCTTATGTCATCAGCTATCTGCCAGTGAAAGTCCCGTCAAAATCGGTCCAGCCGTTCCAGAGATTACCCGGAACAAACAGACAGACAGACAAAAATTGATAAAAATGTTATTTTGGCATATGTACCGTGTCAACATACATATGCATTTAGTAAAAAGCGGTTATTTTAATATTACAAACAGACACTCCAATTTTATTTATTTGTATAGATAATACAATCTGTACAGCAAAAACCATTAACTTTTCTGTTCAATATACTCTGTTGGTAATTACGATATATTCAAAACGATTCCTATAGAACTTTGTTATGCTAAGTTGTACAAAAAAGTGGATTTACGTCAAAGCAAAAAAAATGTACGTCACCGAGGTGAAGGATATTTCAACTGCGAGATAGCAAACTTAATAGTTTTTTACGTAAATTCATTATTTTATGGCTATTTAAAAGCTATTAAAATTATTACTTTAAAAACAGATGGCATCACCCCTTGCGAAAGGTCAAGTCAAACAGTGGTCGGCTGTCAAACAGCGACGTGGCGTGTTGTAATGAACTGGAAAAAGTAGATGTCGCAGAGCTAAGGCGCTCGACGACATCTATCGCTCACAGCTCTTCATCGTCTCGGCCTGCTTGCTGTCTGCCCCAACCTTAGGCCTTACAGACTAGTAGCCTTTAAAAATGAGGCGGGAAAGATAGTTTCGAGACAAACATGTTTAAAAGGGGAATGCCCATATGTGGTATCGCTTGATGATTATTATTTAAACTGTGACACAAGTTCGTGATAGTGATAATTATTGTTTATATTTATGATGATTTTATAACCTAATGTGGCGTCTCACATTTGCCGGATAAATGAACATGAAATATTAGTTGTTTTATTTATATATTAATTTTTATTTATCAGTCGTTCAATTTTTCGTTAGGGATTTTTTGTAGTGGTAACATCATTTCACAAATAATTACATTAAATCGATTTTTTTAAATAAAATAACCAGTTGTTTAAACATGAATCAATCGTAATTATTTAATAATAGCATGATAATACTTTAATGCTAATTAAAAGAATATAATTTATGAAAATAAACTTTTTTTGTCATTGATTCGAAACTACAAATTAAATATTAGCTTTTAAACTAGGTGTATGAAACCGTAATATCATAAACTGAGGAAGCAATTGGCATTATGTTTATTGGAAATCGATACTTGTCTTTATTTTTCAGATTTAATAATCAAAGAAATCATATTTCTTTTAACTCATTGCACCGAATACAAACTCGTATGTGGTCGATTTCGATTTTTAATCTCAATCAATATAGTTTTTATAATTATGGCAACACTGTAGCTGTATGATTATTGTTTGTTGTCAAACAGTTCAGCGTTGTTTGAATTTGTAATTTTTCCGTGTGTGTTATTGTGATTCATTGTAGTAACTACACGTATCTTGAGAAAAAGACTATATTTTTTGTACTAACTGTAAGGCAGAAACTCTTTGTAAAAACTGCTTGTGAAAGTGAGATAGAGACTCCATTAAAACCATAACGGAAAGTTCGTGTTCCGTTCGTCGGTGCATTAACTGTTCCCTTCGACTGCAGCATGGAAGTTGGCAATCATTGAAGTTGAAGAAAGGAATATTATTCTTAATCGGATATCTCCACACCTGGTATGTAAACAAATCAAATGATTAACAGTTTATGTAACTAGTTTTGTTTGCATCCCATCTGTTGTTCATGACAAATACCTCTTGTAAGCATAAGGACACCTACCCTCTGCAATAAAATACATTATAATCTTTGATTTAATTGTAGAATCAAAACTTAATGTATATCATTTTGTTTCAAATAAATAAAAATTAAATTACTCAATAATAGATGTTCAATTTTTATTATATATTTCATAGGAGAATAATCATAACTGTAACTTAAAACCATCTCTAACTATTAATCTTTCTTGTCCAGATGCGGTGTTTGGATAGAGTATGCGGAGCATGTTGGATGGCAGCGACAAGAACCATACAACGGCAATTGCAACATGTTGCTAATCATATAATGCATGCTGAAGATGAGCCTGTAGTTGAGAACTCTCAAGTACCTGTACCCAGTGCTGAATTTCTTGCACCAAATGCTGATGGACCTGTACTTACTATGGAAGTTGTTGTACCTGATGTGGAAGTACCTGTACATAATAATGATGTACCTGTGCCTGATGAGGAAGATAATGCTGTACATATTCCTAATCCACCACCATTACCTCAGCACAACCTATACCAGCCTCAAAGAAGGCAACAAGGGCCAAAAATAATATCACAGACCTATAAACATGTAGCCGTTTCAACAAGGCATTGTGTTTTTTCTAACTGTGGCAATAAAGAACGTTTGTTAATACCTAGAGCATTCAAAGAAGTCTTAAGTCGCTATCGAATTTAAATTCCTCAAAGTGCTCGGATCTGTAACTTTCATTTACACAATGATTGCTGGGATGAATTACAAGTAAATTATTCTGATTTCACTGGTGCTCAAATGGATAACCTACTGGCTATGTTGGAAAGACTGTCAACAAAGCAAATTAATTTTAGTAATGTCCACATGATTCAACCTAACTTATGTTATTACTGGATTGGTCTGAATGCTATTCAATTTTATGAATTACTGAACAATATACCACAATTACATGACAAAGTGCCAGATGCTAGTGTAGCATTGTGCATTTATTTAACCAAATTAAGAAGTGGAGACAGTTATGAGAGGTTGTGTGGTCTTTTTAATATGCCACGAAGTACACTTGAACGTCAGATGAATAAAGTGCGAGATGTTACGACATTACATTTAGTTCCTCACTATTTGGGTCTCAGTCACATGACTGTTCAAGAAGTAGCAAGAACCAGTATGGTGATTCCTGAAGGTTTTTATGGAAACCCAACAATGCCTGTCGAAACCAAACCAGCAATCACCAAATGTGATGCTACATATGTTTATGTGCAGAGTAGTAGCAATTATTTATTCCAAAAGCAAACTTACAGTTTGCATAAATATACTATATACTATACCTGGTGAAACCATTTATGATTGTGTGCTGTAATGGTCATATTTTAGACCAATGATGCTACAATTATGAGCACAGAATTTACCAGGTCTTATGGGCCTATGTGACAATATTTTCGAGAAGGAGACGTCTTTATTCTTGACAGAGGCTTTAGAGATGTGGTGGCTCAATTACAAGAGTATGGTTATCAAACTCATCTACCTGAATCCTTATTAGAAGGCCACTGTCAGCTTACCACGGAGCAAGCTAACAAATCACGTTGTGTCACAATGCGTAGATTGGTGGTTGAGGTAGTAAACGGCAGATTGAAACAGGATTTCAAATTATTTAGACAGGTTTTTTTTAATAGAGCTGCAAAACATCTTATGGAGAATTTCAGAATAGGTTGTGCTCTTGTTAACAAGTTTCGCACTGCCCTTGAGGACAAACCTGTGTACAGAGAATATTTGCATAGTAGGGAGGCATCGACTATTCAAAGGGCAGCCTCTTTGAATAGTTGATCTTTCCACACAGGATCCGGATGGGTTTGGGCTCCGGTTACCTCACTCACTTGGTAAGGAGCAACGACAAACATTTAGTTTTCTGTGAGGCAGTGGTATCACTCCGATCGTGCTGGCCATGTCTGTTCTTTTTTTTGTGTTCCTTATTCTTTCTCTAAATAAAGCTTCTGTTTTGATCAACTTGAGTAGTTATTTAATTGTGCCTAATTATATGCAACTGTAGTCTGTAGGTTTCCCCTCTACAGTTAACATAGCAAAATATTAGGTAGGTATTTAATTCACTCCTAATGGACTAGATACTTGTTACTTTTAGTAACTTAGTATTTTAATTGTATAGTGCACATCTTTTGTATTCTAAGATTAGATCTTAATCTTCCTATGAATTGCATGCTAAATAATAAGTTTCATATTTTAACTTACAACGGGGGACTATGTAAATCCCCCCTCTATTTCTCTGAAACCCGGCAAATTACGCATATGTTATTTATATTTTCTTAAACTACATACTCATACGAATCTTAGACAATAGTTTTCATCTTGTCACAGTAATATTTATACCGATACTATTTTCCTTAGTTGTTTGGGCATTCCCCTTTTATCGACCGATCAAAATAATGTTCAATTTCAAAAAACCTTAGCAATCGAATCTAAATATATTCTTATTGTGCTTCACAAACATCCCCAGAGATATATTTTGCAATAACAAAGGACTAACAGACTAAAGCCGAAAGAAACAGTCAGACGTGAAACAAAGAACGACTACCTGCGCGCACTAAACTCTCTGTGGGGAATTTTTATAATCGACTTTCACAAAAATAAGCCTAAAACTATTGAGAATAACAATCTGTGAGTAAAAAAAAGACTTGAAACTGTGAGAAATCCTGGACGTTTGTAAAGCCTTAAAGGTTTCCAACGATTCCAAAACTGTATGCCCGCAATATTGAAACTTATGACATTTATTTATAAAAAATGTTTTTAATGGTATGGTACATACCGCACACGCTTCAGAAAAACAATATTGCGTGTTATTTGCATGTATCATGTGGTGATGTAGTTAGGGTCTTTGATAATATACAACAGACATGCCATTATTATGTGATTTTACGATTTGATGTTTATCAAAATATGAATCATTATGGCCAATAAAACAAGAAAGAACTTAAAATTATTAGCTCAATTTACGTTACAATTTATTGCACAAGTTGTATACTAATTATAATATTTTCATTAGGCCATAATCTTATTAATCTTATGAATCATTATCATCATCAACAGCTTTTACTAGTCCACTGCTGCACATAGGCCATTTCGTAGACAGGAGTTTTTGGTGTACTATACCACGCTGGCCAGAGGGGTTTGTACAGGGTTTGTTTTAAGTTTTCCTTTTTTTTGTAGTGCTGTTGTCCTGCGTAGTTGGCTCTTACAACACCCACGGTATGAATAGGTGATGACACTCTTTCATCATCATTTGAAAGCATTTTTTTAATTGTATTGCTTTTTAAAAATGGTTCTGGCCAGTTTCTATTATGGCTGACCTCTTGTCTGACGACTAACCATCTTGGAAGTACAATTGTTTTCAGACTAGACAAGTTCGTCCTGTGATTAGAGACGCCTTCGACATAGAGACATCAGCTGACCTTATTAATATGTAATACAAAAATATTAAATTCAGAATAGAGCCACGTCCAGAAGTCTTAAAGTTCTGTAATTCCGAAACTAACGTGTTTGAAATAAATATAATTTCTCTTTCATTATGGAATTGCCATATCTGTGAAAAATTTAATCAACGACCTTGAAGACAATTTTATAACCTTGAAAATATGTTTATTAGTAACTTTACAATACGTTGATAATGTCAATAAGCAGTCTCACAGGCTTCACACTTCGCTTTGCGAAGTATGCAATTAATCTTAGGTGTTGGATAAAAATGAATTGAATAGAAATTGAAAACATATTTTTGAAATTAAAAATGCAGATCATAGGCCAATCACCTTTCATTTTTAAATTTCGCATATTATTTAAAAACATTAAGCCCCCCACCATACGTATTCAAGTAAGTGGACACAACAAACGGACGACACTACAAAGAGACTAAATAAAAACCTTCCACCTTCTAAAAAACATCACTGACCTAGTCATCAGGTTGTTGTGTCGCACACACCTCTTTCTATGCACGAACACATTCTGAGCCACTTTGTATTGGACCGAGTGCACCTCTACTCTATTACCTACATAACTAAAAAGCGGTGATATGTTAGTGAAGTGACAACACTTGCAACACGAAAGAAGAACTTGATAGAGACACTAACACCAATCTTATCTTTGCGTAAATCGGGAACGTTATTATATAGAAATATATACTAGATGGGTGTTGAAAAAATCTATGCTACATTTAACGAACTTATCAAGAAATGTAAAAAGAGTGTTAAAAAGTTGTCAGAATATTTGCCGATTCGTAGACCTCCTCCTTCTGTGGCAATAACGGGGTCGAACCGATTTAAACCAGATAATGTGTCAGAAGTCGGACCTAGTACCCAAAGAAGCAGTATACATGCAACAATTAATCCTCCAGCTCCAAAGCGACAGTCATTTTTTGGTTGGGATATGAGTCACAGTTATATATTTGACATAACGACGAACCTGTCCACCCGCTTGCCTTTTCCCCATTATACCCTCCGGTCTAGTGTCAGAGAGACAAATACTTCTGTCTCGACATAACGTTGCTGCTTTCATTTCTCCTGGTTCATCGCAATGGTCTCTAGCTTCTGTCTACTGACTGAACTAAAGCTACTCTGATATATAATTATTCATTCGGGAACTAACTATTGTCTGCCGTTTCCACAAAATTGCCAATTACCTATACGTATTATGAGACGCGAAAGTTTAAGTTACTATAAAAGAAAGAGAAATCAGGTTTTTTTACTTTAAAAATCCGAAAAGGTTCAAAAACCCAAAAGGATAAGAAAATTCTGAGTGGCAGCGAACATTATACGCATAAGCATTACAGTGATATGGTCTTCCATTTGGTAACAGGTCAAGTTAATAGCAAATATCAAGATGAGCACTAAAGTTCAAAATGCACCTTCCCACCCTGCAGCCATTAAATAAAAAGCAGTGGTTAGGTTCGGATACTATATTTGGTGTTCTTAAGTTGGATACTGACGTTTTAGAGTCACGACGCCTTAAAACTGAAAAGATGTTAAAGATATAAAGAGTGTCCCGTGTAGTCTCGATGGAATAACACAATCTTTCATAAGTGGACAATTGTTTTTATTACATGTCTAGATCGTTACTTAACGCAAAAAACTCTATTAAAAAAAACCTAATTAAAAAGAATATTCAATAAATATTTCCTTTTCAAGTTTTCCCTGAAAACACTGTCAAATGAGGTTCATGACGACACTAGCCTATAAACTTACACTGTCCACATTATGAAAGTGTACACGTAGGTTATAATTTTATTATTATGATACATATTGATATCAGAATGTTCAATGATTAATGACGTAGTCAATTATTCACGTGATAACAGTGACTCATTAAGCCTTTTTAAATCATTTTTTTATATAGATACCAGTGTTTTAAATGTAAAAAATTTAGTTTAGGGATTTAGTGTGCATGTTATTACTGTTTAGATCTTTGCTATTACGTATCTAGGAAGTTACAAATCACGGGCTCACAGCATAGAAACCGCTTAAAATAAAAATATTTAAAACGTTGTGTTACATAGCTTTTTGCTAATGTTGCATAAGTTCAGTACTGCATGCAGTTTACGTAATGTCAATGTCATATTTATATTACCTCATAAACTAGAACACATATATACGTACATATTTATTTATATTTCGCGTGTTTTTGGATTTCATTTCATAGTATAGTAAGTTGTTTGGCAGGCAATATATCAAATTGATCTTTATTTATCAAGAATGTGGGTGGGTACAAATAAAACGCTGTTTGGAAATTTTAAGAGCCCTAGTTCTTTGATCTATTAACCTTTACAAGGGTTATAGATGGGATGGGAGGATAATTTTCAAAATTTATACTTATTTTATCAAGAAATAATAAATGAAAAATAATATTTAAATACGTGACACGTATATATTCTAAAAAGAATATAAATTATGAAGTCTTTGACTTTAATGTAATTAATCGAATTCAAACACGTTAGTTAGGCGACGATATTTTTTCAAGATCTGCAATGGCTGAAAATGGAACAATTTATTTTTTAGTCACGCTCCACTATGGAAAACGGCATATCAAAAATCGTTTTTACTAATATCGTTATTGACGCACTTTTAAAAGTTTATTGAATAGTTTAGGAATGGAACTTTAATAAAATGTAGTGATTTGGTATGAATTACATTTGGAATATATTTTTTTAATACCACAAATTATAATTCTTAAGAATGTCTATTTCAGGTTTGTTTGCTACAATACTTTAAAATTAATTAATTTCATAAATTTGCATGCATTCATAAAGCAATTATAATATTATAGGTTTTATATATTTATATGAAAAAAAATTAACAAGAAGTGAGGGATAAGGATATTTTTTTAACTTCATCGAGGCTCTTGACAGTTACCGACAACTCCCGACACTTAACATTTGATGTTGTTTTGTAGCGTAGATATTCATAAATAACAGTTATAAAATCAGCTGCGTATACAAAGTTATCGAAGTGATCGAAGTTATGACGAAAGTATGATACAAGTCAGGCAACAGAAAACCACTATCTATTGTGGTTTCTATTGTCTAACTATTAAATTGATTAGTTTGCGGTATATTTCTATTCAATATTAGTTGTTTATTGATAATAGGGCGTTTTATCTACATTTTACTATTATTATGCTATACATATATTATCTGCATTTAGTTTGCGGGCAACTTTAATAAACAAAATGCACACCACCCTCATTTATCAAATAACATGTAAAGAGTGGCTTCCTTTAATATCGCTAGCTAATATCGATACGAAACAGACGTTTGACTGTTTCGTATCTTCGCTGAATTTTAAAATGTCTGCTACTTTGATTTTTATTACTTTCATTGCATACATACTTTTTGTTTCCTCCTTCAAGGAGCAAAGTATCATTAAGCATTTTGGTGTGCTTCCTATTGTTCAACAAAGGATTATAATTTTTTTTTGCCTCAATCATGCCTACTACAAATGAAGATGTATTTCATACTCTTCTCTACACATCAGATCCATACATTTCCACCCTTAGAAAAACATACAGGGTTTTCCAATAAGAGGTGTTATTTTAGTTTTCAAAGAAAAATGCAATTTTTTAAGATAAATAATCGGCTGTTTATTTTATAATAAAGAGGAAGGTATGCCGTTAATAATGGAAGATAACATCAGCCAAATGGCTAACACGACCACGCTTACAGGACCATATCCTTTTAATGAAATTTTGCATAACCAAATCGCAAAGTGGCTGCCCTATGTCCTCGATAGCCTCACGAATTCGATCTTTGAGGTCTTGAATCGACGCTGGGCTGTTGGCGTAGACCTTATCTTTCACGTGGCCCCAAAGGAAGAAGTCGCAAGATGTTAAATCACAAGATCTCGGTGACCAATTGTGATCACCTCTTCGAGAGATAACACGGTCAGGAAACTTTTCCCGTAAAAGAGCAATGGTTTCGTTGCTTGTGTGGCACGTAGCGCCGTCTTGTTGAAAGTAAACGTTGTCCAGATCAATACCATCCAACTCCGGCCATAAAAAATCATTAATCATGTCTCGATAGCGCAATCCATTCACCGTAAGTGTTGATCCAACCTCATTTTCGAAAAAGTAAGGTCCAATGACCCCGCCGGACCATAAACCGCACCAAACAGTCACACGTTGAGGATGTAGAGGCTTCTCAACAATAACTCTTGGGCCTTCCGAGCCCCAGATGCGACAATTTTGCTTGTTGACGTAGCCTCCTAGGTGGAAATGGACCTCATCGGTCAAGATGATTTTTCGTTGGAATTCCGGATCATTTTCATACATTTCAAGTACCCAATCAGCAAAGACACGACGTTGTTGATGATCGGCCGGCTTGAGTTCTTGTGTTAACTGAACTTTATAAGCCTTAAGACCCAAGTTTTTATGCAAAAAGCGGTGTAATTACGTTTGTGGAATGCCCAATTCCTAAGAACGACGAGGAATGGAGAAACCTGCGTTTTCTTCAACACTTTGGGCTACAGCAGCAATATTCGCAGTTGTTCTTGAGCGACGTGCACGGGTTTTATTCTTCACATCACTAACTTGTCCCAACAGCTCGAATTTTTCCACCAATTTCTGTATTGCGGTCCGACAAGGTGCTTCACGACGACCAAAAAATGCTTTAGTTTTGAGAACTGTGACTGCAAGATTTTCACCATTTTTGTAGTGAATTTTAATAATTTCAATGCGTTGTTGAAGTGTGTATCGTTCCATTTTTAGTAATGGCGTAGTTTCTACTTGTCAAATGTCAAAAAATAAAAGCTTCAAAAGTGACAGCTACCGAAATACCGGGTGATTCAAAATAACACCTCTTGTTGGAAAACTGTTTATAACAAAAGTCTGAAGGCACTTGATGAAGATACCCTAGATCTTTTAAAAGTGAACGAACTTATTTTGGATACCGAAATTCACCAAGTATAATTAAGCGTAATGTAGGTACAAATTATTAAACATATTTTTTTGTAGTATATTTTACTTATAAAATAGTATTTTGTAACTTTGAATATTTATGAAATATTTTTTGTGATCATAACTTTTAATTACTTATTTAAATTGGTAAGTTGCTTTATCATTATAGTTTAATAATAAAGTAATATAATAATAACTTTTTATTCAAAATATAGTGTGTTAGTGTTGTTCCTCCGGTAACCTCACTCACGTGGTGAAAAGCAACAAAATAATTACTTAATACCGGTTATTAATTAATTATTATTACCCTTTGTGATACATACATCATATATTACTGAACTGCAGTGCATTCTCCAACGAAACAGCCTTGCGTACAGCGCTGCCACACGAACTTCAAACAAGTTAGTTTAAAGTTCTACGCTGTGGTAGAGAATAGCACTCCTGATAGCAGTCTGCTGATAACATGTGCATTTTTATGTTCATTGAATTTCTTTAATACACACGTGTTAATCAATTTACATTAAATATATACGAAAAAAATATGTATTGGAAACTAACGAAAGCAGCAATTCTGTTTCCTGTTTTACTCCCTCCCATCGATGGAAAGTTATGCAAATCAATTCGCAGCTATGGGTTATGTGGACAAGAAAGTACTTTCAACTCCATTAAAGACTCGTGGAACATGGTTTTTGTATAGTTTTGCGAAACTTCCCCGAGGCCGAGACTTTCCTACTATATCGACATAATACAAACAGATGTATAAAGTCCTTTAAACCAAAGTTGTTTATAGCTTTTCACAGCGAAAATGGCGACGGAACTAAAAATTATTGAATTTAGAGTTGGCGTTTTGAGTTAGCTTGGCTTAGAGTTTTGAATAATTAGTGAAGTATGACAATTATATTAAAATGTGAGCTAGTGTTTTATTTCAATAAAAACGGACTGTCTCTTTCTATGGACCGCTGATGCCAAATCGTTGCATCTCTGTTTACGATTTCAAAGATTTATAATTCCTTAATAGACTTAGTTCCAAACCATCAAATCTCTGAGAAATACTAGTCTGTTGGTGTAGTGATTTTGATCCAGGATATATATTGTGTGTGGGTTTAGTGTTTTTTATATTACGTTTATATTTGGCAATATTTGAGCATGTTTGCCGACAGTCTGGTTACTATAATACAGGATCTGCCCAGTTTGGGATCAGGAAGGAGGCCATGTGTGAGATGTGTCGGGTTATTTCATCATCGTCATCATCAACAGCCTTTAATAGTCCGCTACGGACATTAGACTCTTTAGAAAGATTTTGTTTTTTTTTTATCTTTTTATTATTCAAGTTAATTACTTTTTGTTATTTTTAAAATTTACTTCACACTGAGGTTAATTTTTACTTATGATGGTACAATATTTAATAGCTATTTACTTAGTCCCGATTTACACTTCTTATATCTATAATTCAAATTGTTAAAGTAAAAACACAAACATAAGAACAAATATTTGAACATAATTTAGATAACAGACCTTTCAAGTGTTGTTTAAACTTACAAACGAAATAACAAAAAGAAATACTCACTTGGTAAATGTAGCATACATAATATCGATGGGTACTCTGTAAGGGATCGTGAGGAACGTGAGGTACCTCATAGCCCTCCGCCTCATAACCCAGTTGACTATGCCACTGTTAGCAGAGTCGATGGCGTTTTGGAAGATAGTCATCACAGTGTCTGGCAGATCATCCACTAGAGCGTCCTAAAATCGAAATATTACTTTAGAATCCTTTGTTTTGTATTACTTGTATTGTGAATTACTTTTAGCCGTGGGAGAGCCATGCTTCGGCACGAATGGATCGGCTCGACTGGAGTAATACCACGGTCTTACAGAAAACCGGTGTTAAGCAATTCTTTCGTTGCCTTTCACTGAGTGAGTGAGGTTACCGGAGCCAAAATCCCCCCTCCCTCGAGCGGGAGGGACTCCAAGGGTAGCAACGCACTTGTGACTTTTGAGTTGCAGGTGTCCACGGGCGGCGGTAATTGCTACCCATCAGGTGACTCGTCTGTTCGTTTGCTCCCTTATACCATAAAAAAAAATTGACGACTCTTGAAATAAATTTGGCCTCGGTTAACCTCACTCGCTGATTCACTGAGCATCGAAGCAAGAAATTGCCTCTCAGCTGCGGACCTAGTGCAATATTAGTTCCACCTCGCTCTCGACGGCGAGCGCGTTTTGGTGAAGATTTCAGTGGTGTCAACTCACACTAGGTCCGCTGTTTTCTTTGAGAAGAAATCACTCCGGTCGATGGGGCAATATGTGCCGATGTATGGCTTGCCCACAATTAACAAATTATTTTAAAAGAAATCGACCGCACAGATGGCAGAAGTTGTTTAAGCCTCGCCGCTTTACTGCGTTGAGTGTTGTGGGTTCCATCCCCACAAGGCACACTTTGTGTTATCCACAATTTGTTGTTCTGAGCCTGGGTGTTCTTTCTGTGCGTTTCATGAATGTTTGTAAAGTCCCCCGCGACACAGGATATGTTCCTAGTGCGGGAGTTCTTTTAAAAGAAAAAAGAACACATGTATTTCTCAGGCTTTTCTTGCATTAAGTAACTATTTCTTAATGACGAGATAACTGGGCACATATCTTACAAATTTCGTGCCATATTCGTGCACGCAATGTTTACGTCTGTGAACGTGATGAAATATGTTACTAAATCGAAAGCATTTATCGTATTAACTACAATTACTTCTAACACCAACACGAAATACAATTGATACCTTCTCAATTATTAACCGACTACTACAAATAGGTCGGACTTTTCTATTGATTTCCTATTGATGCCCTATATATTATATTACATACACTGGGTATATATTAAATTCGCCGGGTTGTGAATGTTAAGTTCCTATACATTTTCAAGCAGTCGGCTTTTTTGTTTTTTTTTTTCAATATTTATCTCACGTCACATCCACAGCCTTTGATAGTCCACTGCTGGACATAGGCCTCTCCTTTAAAAGGAGGTTTTGGCCTACTATACCATGCTGGCCAGACGGGTTGGCATAGGGTTTGTGTCAAGTTTTCCTTCTCTTGTGCTGTTGTCCTGTGTAGTTTGCCTCCTTAGTCGGCTCTTACAGGATAAATAGGGGTAGTGACACTTCGTATTCTGAATCCGTCACCACATGGATAGAGAGAAAGAATAATTATTTATGTAAGTAAAAAAAACTTAAATTATGGATAATACGGCATGCAGTTTTAATACGTCACTGCCCAGCCCTTCGGGACTATAGGCGTTAGTGTATATACATACATAAAAATTTACAAAAAACAGTTATGTTAGCTTATTTTAATGTATTTTATAAATTACCTGTCGATGTGTTTTACATTCTTCACAATCTGTGTCATATTCGAACGTGGTGTCATCGAGCACATCTTGTAGCTGGAACGTGGACTGGACAGCGAGGCACCTTGTGCATGATATCAAGTTGTTTCTGTGTAGGAACCGCAGGGCGTCGTCAAATCCTTGTTTGCACATGTTGCTTAATACTTCGGGATTTGGCGGGAACAAAATGCGCGCGAATCTGTTTATGTTCTGTTTTGATATCTCTATGCTTGTGTTCGCCAAATTTATCTGTTTAAGATATAGATAAGATAAAATTCGCTTAATTTCTCATTTATCAAACTTATAAGTATTTAAAGCAATAAAATTAATATTTGACAGCTCTTTTATTCTGGCAGCAATTTTTGCCCGTTTTGAGTTCGCGCAAAAGAAGGCAACCTTTATGGGAAAACTATTTAAATAGCCTAAATAGGCTTTTCTGTCCATCTGTTACATACAGCCGATTTGTTCTGAATTTACTAATAAATAGATGATAAGTAATTTATATTAATTTTCATCATTGACATTCAACAGAATCCAAGACGATAATATAGTACCTACTTGTAAAATTATTATTATTGATTAACCACCTTTTTCGTCCCCTCTTGAAACATATAAATCCCCAAGGATCGTTGTCGACAGGTAGGCGACCCGCCATAAAAGAAACCAGCCAAAACAATGACACACATTACGTGAACGCAAAATAAAATTTACAAAAGAACGGCAAAATCAGTGTAAAATCCTCACGTGCAAAAAAAAACTACATCTAAAATACTAGGAATTTGTTACTCAGATCATTTGCGTTCTTTATAAAAAAAAAAGAACGATGGTCTACTAAATACGTTAAAAAAATACTTACATGAAATAGTTGAGAGCTTAAATCTCTTGGGCAAATATCGCTCTCTCCACAGAAGGGGCTGACAGTGATCGTGTTCTCATCAAGCACTGGTAAGTTGTCACTGAAGCCTCCATCCATGTATCTTATGCCATGAAACCGTGGCGGGAGCAGTCCCGAAAATACTGGTACGAAACATGACGCTAACAACGCCTAAACAAAAAAGAAAAAAAGTTATCTACAAAAAAAGATTCTTCTCAAAAAGTCTACTGAAATAAAACTCGCCCAACTCCTTTGGACAAATGTCTTTTTACAGTGCCTTTTTTTAATTAAGTCTGGTATCCTAACTTTTATCTTTGCTTTTTTACTTAATTATTTAAGAGCACATTATTCATCGTACTTACTTAATCTTACAAATATCATTTTAAGTGATAACTTAATCATCTGCGAAACATGTAAAACATGTGGGTAATATTTTAATATTTACTTAAATTTTTACGTGTTTGGTTTGACAGTAACATTACAGAAAATTAGCTTTCGGGTTGTCCATACATACTTTGTAACCGTAACCATCCATACTTTGTAACCGTAACCATCCATACTTTGTAACCGTAACCATCCATACTTTGTAACCGTAATTGATATCCGTCTGAATTGAATATGTGCACTTACAAGTGCGAATTTTGGAATAGATAATGGTTCGGGCTATTTAGCCTAACGCAATCATCTGCTGGGAATAAGACAGATGTCACTCAGATGTCGGCCACATCACTCGATCCACCTATTCCATGTTCACGCATATAATGATTTATATAAAGTTTTAAACACGCACTTGGTAGTGCCTAGTAAATAGGCATAATAAATTGTGCGATCGGATGATGTGTTGCTAACATAACGATAGCATTTTCTCAGCCATTACGATTACCGAAATAAACGTAAGATGGAATTATATTAAAGAATACCCTTGACGTCAGTCACAAGTTCAATATTTATTGTTAATAGGCATGATGTTATAGATGACAACAATTCTATACATAACCCACGATGTATATATAAACATAAGTACTCCAGAACAGGAGCGAGAGTTAACTCTTGACTCAATTTATACTGAAAACAAACAGTCAAGGAAGACTATAACAGAGAATACGTAATAGGTTTCGCACAACGATTATAATACATATATACATTAAGAATGATAATGGTGATCTAAGGGTTTCCTAAAATTTTAAGATAATGAAACTCCCAGCAAAGCCCACCATCACCATAATTATGGAATCCCACCTTAGTTTGCATATCCAGTCTCTTAACTTATACGTTACTTTAATAAACTGATTAGGTACCTTCCTAAGCATAAAACATTCTTGCGGTTCTCTTATGTACAGTAAAGGTTCTTCTCTACACATATTTTTTGGTATTTTTTTGCTATTTTCTGCTTAGGAATGACTACAACATCACCATAATAAAACATTTAGATTAAAACTAACTTTATTATACGTGTAATGTGAGGTTCATCACGAACAAGTTGATTGAATATATGAACTCACTACCTGTCATAATCAAACTTAAACTGATAATGAATACTTTACTAACTGATAATGAATACTTTACTAACTGATAATGATTACTAACCTGTAATAAATCTTCTCGTGTAGGAAAATCAGACACTATCACGTTCTGCCCGTCGTAGACCCTCGTGAGGGAAATGTGGAGCTTGCCACTGACGATCTTATGTACGTCATGGGGCAAGTACTTCTGCATGCCTTCGAGGAGGACATTCTGTATATTGAAAGACGGGCTGAAAGGTCCAAGGGAACCCGCCCTCGCTTCACTTACGACTCTTAGCACATCGCTCGTTATTTCGCCTAAAAAAACATTTGTTTTAATTCTTTCTTCTTAATTAAGTTGATTGGATAATCGAAAGTGACCATTCGCAAATATTTAAAAAAATGCAAGGTTTTTTTTAATGGTATAATTTATATTATAGACCTTTTATCATCCATATATTTTGAATCCATGAATTAAATAATTACAAATACGTGAGTTGTTCAGGCTCGAGCTGAATTTTATTGTTAGATTTTTTTACTGTGTTATTTATTTAACCAACTACGTTCAATTTTACCAATAAAAAAATTGTCTTCATAAATCCAAAAAAGTACAGACTAACGTATTTACATTCAAAATACGCGTCTTAGAAAATTACTAAAATCGCCTCATAGACCTGATAAATGGATACCCATTTTTCTGGACACGCATTTCTTCCAATTTCATTATAATGCCTTAATGCCTTAGGCATTAAGTCATAAATAAATAAATAAAGTAAATAATATATAGTTCTACTGCGTTAAAATTAAGTCAATAATTTGAATTTTTGAAAAAACTAAGACAACATTAATCGCTCCTCGAGTTTTTCACTAGTTAGTTATACTTTTTTGTTTTGTTTTTCTGTGCGGAAATCCCTTCGGATACCAACTACCGGTGGCTATGTCCTACTCGAACCTACCCTACCCTAGAAAGGAAATCACTGGTACCCCGACGTAACCAGTTAATTATCTTAACGACGACCAGCTAAAGATTCTTTCCATTCTTCCAAACTAAAGGAAAGGATGTACTTTTAAGAAGTTAGACAAACACTGATATACATTGCAATAATTAAATAAATATATATCTCTATGAGATTTGGAATCGGGGATAACATTTATCCACATATTATAGTCATTCGAACATTATGCAAGTTGGCACTTTAAGAGGATATAGAATTACAATACAAATCTAATATAATTGATGTCGAATCTCGATTTTTGTATTGTACAATTGTTTTTATCTTAAACAAAATCTACATTTCCGCATGAAAATAATATACAAATATTTGAAGAGCGTCAGAAGCCTTGGCATCGTTAATTTAAACTCTTTTCATTTTCGTGTGCAGCAATTTGCTGTGTTGCTACTTGCGTGTAATGTACTTTAGTGTAATGTTATTTAGGGTATCCGAAAAATCAAATTACCCGCAATTAGATTTTTCGGATACCCTTATTTTTTGATAACTTTTTTTTACACTGTTACGTTGTGTTCTTAAGCGTTAGTTTGGGTCGTGTATAAACATAGCGAGATTCCACTTATTTTATTATCTCGTTACAAGTTATCGTGACAAATAAGTACGTAACGCATTTCTAGATACCGCGTTTCTTTCATTCATATTTTAACATTAATACTTTTTTCTTTGTGTTAGGAATATATAAATATATTATTATGACCACTACTGGAAATAGGTTAAGTAGACATTTATTTTGTTGTTGGAAGCGGAACCCATATTGGGTTCGTCTTCTTTATTTAAATATTTAACAGTATAGTATGCTTAATCATTCTTTTTTTTCTTAACGGGATGGAAGATTCATGGATGTCCTTCGCCCAATAGGGGAGGGCTAAGGGGTCCGTCGAACTCTTCCCGACTAAAATCCACCCCGGTGTTAATCTCCTTGCCAATGGCCGGGGGAGCGAGAATCGCAATTGTATTCTTCCGCCACTCCACAGGCATTGACCCGTCTCACCCAAGACGGGTCACGTCACCCGTTGCGACCGTCACCCTTCGGTCGCAGTACTCTAGAAGCGCACACAGAAGACTGGGCGTGCCTCTCAGGCCTGTATCTGTTCGGACGACGAATCCCCCAACTTCGTCGCTCGCAGGCGACTAAGATGGCCAGAGATTGACGAATGTCCTCCGGCGCCCGGTGCGCCTTCTGCGGGTGGAGAGAGCAGTTCTGCGTTCTCTTTCCCATCATTTTATTACTATACAGACCAATTTTAATCTACATTAAATGCACAACATATCTAACTTATTTAATTGGACGAGGTTAAATACTGTATTATTTAAAATAGCTTCGTAAATAACCCATTATTTTTTTGTAAGATGTAAAGTGGGTTAACCTTAGGAGATAGACATATATCATCTCAGACTTTTTTGTGTATCTTTTTAGGATATACAATACCATGTTACATTATTTTGATCTATCTTATAAATGTAAGAGCACAAAAACATGTTTTTTACTACATCACATTACAAATAAGATTTGTTATCTTATACAAAAACGAATACCTATTTTATATCAATTTTAAAAGAGGCAAACAAAATATTTAATTACAAGATAAAAAGAAACTTAATGACATGTTTTAAACCTGAGTTACTTTACGACAAGACCTATTTAGAGTATTACTGCATAAAGTGTTCCTAGTAATGTGATAATTAATAGTGCTGTATATTTAAAACAAATAAATACTAGTGCAGTGGTTATTATATCTATATTCATATATCTACTCTAATAGATATTGTCCTAAGTTCCATAGATTAGAAGCTACTCGGCTGACCTTGACACATCATCCTCTATGTTGATGGTGACTAATCTCAGATTGTTTATGTACTCAAGCAAAACAAATTAATTGCGCAAATTATGATACAATTTATAATCAATTAAAGTTTTTGTAATAATTCAATTTGTTACAAGGATGAGATAATGAACTAGTGAAATACAAATTACCTACTGTTTTGTTTATAATCTAATAATGTGTCTTTGTACCTAATAATGTGTTTATGTCTGTTTAATAATATTTCAGGTGACCCGTCTGCTCTTTTGCCCCTCTTCCATAAAAAAAAAGAAATAAAAAATGTACGAGGTCATCTTTGTTAGTTGTATTTGATGTTTTTTATACAATTGTAATTTTCGCTTAAAATGATTGTAATTTCAAAAGTAAGTTTTTACTTTTTTCTGTAAATACCTATTGTCAACAGATCATTTAACTTTAAAAATTTATAAAAAGAAAACACAAATAAATATCAAGATTAGAATGATATACTGGCATTTTAAAAAGTCATTTAATAGCTTGCATTTTTTTAAATATTATGTGATCTATAATCTATGGCCTAAAAGTTGTAACTTTAGTTTAATCCAAAAATCTGGTCACTTGCAGTCCAAAATATCCTAACAATATAAATTATATCACAGTAAATAAATCTTGAAAATCTCACCTATAGGTAGCTCACATAGTAGGCAACAAGCTGACAGAGCTCCAAAAGAGGCTCCAGATATTTTTCCTAACAACAAATGGGGAGCATACTTTTTAAAACACACAGCAACTCCAACGTGGTAAATACCAAGGAAACCACAACCAGCAAACGACAAATTCATTATTCACATAAAATAATCAAACACAAAACAAATAACACAACACTCCAAACGATACTACCAATATGTTTCAATAATTTAGATCGATACACTCAAAAACTTTATCACAAAGTGTAATTAAAATCGTTTTAACTGATAAGATTACTGTAACTGCAGATAAATTTTATCTGGTTCAGTAATATGTCGAACTGCCCTCAAAACAACACGTTTCGCGAAGGAGAAACTCGTGAAACTGAGGTACTAGTAGGGATAGACTAGAGATGGACGATATACATCGATTTTTTTAAAACACTCGATGCATAGTAACGATGCATCGTGTTAAACCGATGTATTGTTAATACTTCAACATCGAATATATATCGATGTTTTTTATTCGATGCATCGACCAAGCAAATTATGAATGAGTATAGTATTGTATAGCCGTCAAATAGCTATAGTTTATTGAACGGGGTTCTTTTAATTCGCCCGTTGGAACGCTGTAGGGCGTTCGACTCGTATTATTCGTTTGTTCGCGGGAAAATTAAATTAAACTTGATTTTTATGAAGAACGTGTGAGTGCTCTTGCTATCGCAAGTATTCTAGATCCACGATTCAAAAGAATACATTTCAATGATGCAATAGCTTGTTCGAATGCTGTTTCGAAAATTAAGGATTTAATTAAGAAGAATTTGCAAAGCAATGAAGAACCTGAGTCAGATTCTGACAAATCCGATAAAAATGAAGAGGCCTTTTCATTATGGACTGATCACCATAAGTTAGTGCAACGTAACTGGAAAATTAACAAATCTGAAGAAGTTTTGTCTGACGAACTTTCAGTTTATCTCAGAACACCTGTTGGAAGACTGAACGAAAATCCGTTAGAAATCTGGAGGGATTATAAAATACAATTCCCGAAGCTGTACAAAATAGCTTTCAAGTATTTGACAATAATTGGTACGTCAACCTTCAGAAAGACTTTTTTCACAGGCAGGGCTAGTTTTGACTGAACGAAGCAACCGACTGAAGGGGAAGAGATTAAGTGAACTTTTGTTTTTACATAGCATTGACAAAAAATATTAGAATATGTAAAGAAAAATGTGTTGGTTGTGTGATTTTGAATTTGAATTAATATTTTCCCTGCTTTTTTAATATATATTTTTGTTTTAATTAAGGCCTTTTTTTTTTTTAACGTGTGGAAATCCCCTCGGACCGTCACCCCACCGGGGTTTGCGGCGGGGTGGTGTGTCGGACTCGGACCGACTAAAACCACACGGTGTGCCACTCTGCGCCTGTAACAGGAGGGATCCGGGAACAGCTGTTATTAAGACATCCGGACCCCTCCTAGCGCCAGCCCGCTCCTGGTGCGGGCTCCGTCTCAAAATTTTCCTCTCTTTAGGCGACGTCCGGCACACGCGGACGCCGCCCCCTCGCGGCTGGCCAAACTAATGCGGGTGGAGGGGAAACCCACCCCGTCCACCCGCGGCCACACTCAGGGCGGCATGAGGCGGTGATAAGGCGTTAATTAAGGCCTTTTTTTTTTTTTTTACGTGTGGAAATCCCCTCGGACCGTCACCCCGCCGGGACTCTTGTTCGGCGGGGCGATGTGTCGGACTCGAACCGACTAAAACCACACGGTGTGCCCTCTTTGCGCTTCCAGTTTAGGAGGGGTCCAGGTAGTTATCGCCTTCTGGACCCCTCCCAGCGCCGGCCCGCTCCTGCTGCGGGCCCCGTCTCTGATCTTTCCTCTCTTTAACCGACGTCCGGCACACGCGGACGCCGCCCCCTCGCGGCTGGCCAACTAATGCGGGTGGAGGGGAGAACCCATCCCGTCCACCCGCGGCCACACTCAGGGCGGCATGAGGCGCAGGTAAGCGCGCCTCCGCCGCCCGGTTCGCCGGCGGCGGATCAGGTCCGAGTGGAGGTCGTCCTCCCGGGCCTTCTCCGCCGCCTCCTTCTGCGAGATTACCTCCTCGCAGAAGGTTGCGACCGCGGTAAAACAACTGTCGCTACCGGCCATGGAGCGAATTACGGCCGGTAGCGAGAGATCTGCTCCGATGACTGCAGTGAGGGCCCGGCGCTGCGTCGCCCATGCGGGGCAAACCGCCAGCGTGTGCTGGGCCGAATCCTCGGTCGCAGTGGTGGCAGGCGGGACTCGATTCCCTCCTAGCGACCGAGTACAGGTACTTTCCGAAGCAACCGTGCCCGGAAAGCACCTGCGTCAGCCGGAAGGAAAGGGTCCCGTGCTGCCGCCCTGCCCACTCGGCGATGACCGGCTGGAGAGCCTCCACGGCGGCGAAGCCAGCGCGTGGAGTCTCCAGCCGGAACGACCATCTCACCATGGTGGCTCGGCGAGCGGCTTCGCGCCACTCGCGCACGTCTTCGGGCGGAGGGCGAAATCCGCTCTCCGCCCGGAAGTCAGCCACTCGCCGATAAACTTCGGCGAGCACTTCCGCCTCCAAATCCCACGGGGGTGTTCCGGCCAAGGCACAGGCCGCCTCGGTGGACACCGTGCGGTATCCGCGTATGGCTCTGACCGCCAATATCCTCTGGGGGCGCCAGAGGCGCGCCCTATTCGGGGCGGTCAGAGCCGCCACCCACACCGGTGCACCATACAGCGCCATGGACCGGACAACCCTCGCGTACAACCGCCTCGTGGGAACACTGGCCCCGCCCAAATTGGGCAAAAGCGTTAATTAAGGCCTAACCTAACCTAAAACACGTCATGGCGAAAACAATCGATGCTTAAGGAACATCGATGTATTTCTCAATACATCGTATTACCATCGATGTGACCGATCGATGCATTACATCGAAAAAAACATCGATGTATATTTTAAATGTCCATCTCTAGGATAGACAAAAGTATCGATACCTCAGGATATTGATACTTTTGTATCGATACCAAGTTCTTTTGGAATCGATCCTTTTGTTCAGATTCTTTTGAGGAATCGATACTAAAAAGTATCGATTCGAGCATTAAGCTTAAGAAAAATAAAACAAAGTGTGGTGTGGTTTTATGAAATCATGATGTAAGCGAAACTTTTTTTCGGATCAGTCTTGGTCTATGCCATGGGGCTTTACGGTATTCAACCCGTATTATGGTATTGAATCTGTGTAGTTCTTTTTTGTCTTTTAAACTATTTCACTTGTATAATATTATTAAAGTTTATTAATAATATAACATTATTAATTTAATAATATTATTGCATTATTTGCACGGCATCTTTCAGTTCCTTAGTTATAGGAAAGTACTTCTCTGACATCTTCCTGAAATAACAAGTAGCAACACTAAGTCACCAAACTATGTGAGTTGTAGAGAAATTATTCTTTTGCTCTCGTCTCGTCTTAATCGAATTAAAAACGTTAAATCAATCTAAAGAAGATTCCGCTGCCGATTCAGTTTTAAATAAAAATTATACGGTTTCGTGTATTATTTTTCAAAATACTGTAAACAAGTGGGAACAGGGAATGTTTTTATTTGCCAAACTTGGCAACACAAACTACACTCCATTCGTGTTTTTTATAAATGCAAAAAAAAATACTCGATACCATCAGGTATCGATGCTTTTGTTCCAAAACATTTATAGTATCGATACTTTTGATATGATACTGGTATCTTTTTGAAATTTTACCAGCTGACAGCTATAAACAACAGTGTGGCTAATAGTTAAATTAACTCTCCACCAGATTTAACATCTAAAACCACTTACAAAAAAGGCACTAATCATTTTTTAACCTTTACGAAAGAAAACAATACGCATATTAACAGTTCGTTTTCTTTAAAATTACGTTATACTATTACTAACAAATAGTAAATCATCTATCAACTAAACTAAAGATCAGAAACAAAAATTATAAAAGTCATTTTTTAAAATAATTAATCTTCTTCAGATGAATCGTTTTTGTTTGAACCATCATCTTCGGTTTCAGATTGATAAGATTCTTTGAAATTCATACTCCTCATTTGATTCTTACTGCTTAATAGTCTCTCAACATCGGCATTGAAAAAACTCTTAAAATTTCGAATACCCTTAGGCATCTTTGAAGTGCGATACTTCCAGTATGCGGAAGTTCCCTAACACGATGGGCGACAGCGGACCGAGTGTAAAACGACCATTAGTATCATATAAATCTTCATTTCTCTTCTGCTACTCAACTAGATCATCAAACTAAGAGTCGGACCCTGAACTACATCGATCGATAGTCGATCTTCATGCTCCTTTTCCGTTTTTCAGTTTATCTTTAAACATCATCTCCGAAGTCCTTTATTATCTTACTATTACTACCGAACCACTAGAAAAATCTACTAGCCATTAACATCAATATTTCGCCACTAACAGGTCGAAAGTAGTCGAAACCAGGACGGGTCGAAAGTAGTTGAAACCACCAATTTTAGTGGATAATCTACTAGGCTGACAACACTTGTAAACAAGAGGAATTTCACTATTAAGAAATGTTTTTTTTTATTTTCCTTTGTTTTGGACAGCTGTCACGGATAGATGTTATGACAAATATCTGTCAAAGTAGGATGCATTCTTTTTTGTGTTTCACTCAACTGAGGAGTCTTAGAATTTAGGTTAATAGACATATGCCACTCATCTTACTAATTTATCTCAATGATTTAATATTAAATTTTAGGGAATTCACTTTTATCTAGTTTTAAAACTAAAAGAATTTGATGGATTTACTCATTTTTAATGCTTAAAGCAACACGGTAGACAGTAGCCATACGCCGGCGTTCCCCTCTGCCAAAGTACAAGTCGACACGGTCCTATGCGTACAATAAGAATAGTTGCGGCCAGACCACTCACTAGACTTAATCTAGTTGCGCTACTGAGCAAAAGACAGCAGCCGTCCTGCAAAATGCCAAATTGTTCAGTTTTTTGCTTTAAAAAAAGATCTGCTACGTCAGGTTTACAAAAAGACGGCATTACCTTTCATCCGAAAATGGCAGTTGTGTTTATTTGGATTTGTTTACAACACAGGCCGCTCGCCGTCATACAACATTCGTCCGAAATATTAATTTATAATATAATTACCGGTTTTTAAATTATTAGATATCGATAAAACCTAAATACGTCCTTATCTCTCGTGCATATTATCATTTTTGAAATTACGTTTCTGATATAAGTAATTTCGTGTGGATTGTAAGCTTTATTTTAAATAATTTAATATTAAAATTGCGTTCTGTCCAATGTTATACAATATTTATGAGTATTAACACATTATATTAAAATTACTAAGTGTGAACTACGACCACATATTTTCTTTATTGCAGGAAGAAATTAAAGACTGCGACTCCTGAGTTGCAAGCATTTATGGGCGGCTGTAGGCGCTTTCCATCAGGGGACCCGTCTGCTCGTTTGCCCCCTATTCCTTAAAAAAAAGGTCCGAAGTTGAGGGCTATAGGGAAGAACTTTTGTACATTTTAATTTTTTAACATAACAAACCTACGAGAAACCGTGTCATTTGCTTACATCATTTCAAGACCTCTGACTTTTAAGTGTTGGCGAACAATCGACGAACGTAGTGACAGCTTGTTTTTGTATGAATTTTTTTGTTTTTTAGTCAGTCTGAGAATGGTTGCGTGCGCCTATAACTCAGAGTCACAAGCGTATTCCCGTCCTTTGAGGTACACTATTTTCTTCGAGGTCGTATAGGTCTGGAAACTCTGGAAATAAAGCGCTCAGTTTTGGAGTGTCAGTTATTCAAGTGATCAGGGATAAAGTTGCGGCCGGTATTAGTCCAAATAATTCCTCGGAGCACTCCCCGTGATACAGATATTAGAAAATACAGAGTGAAGTAAATCCCTACATCAAGGGTTTTCGCCGATTGGAGATCTTCTGTCTGTTGGAGATTGCGAAAAAGCAAAATTAAATTCGAATTTAAATAAACTTCATTTTAAACTGTTGAACTTGTGATCTTGGAGGTCGTTAATTTCTTTATTCGGAGTTAGTGTAAATAAGTAATGTATTTTTTCAGGATGAGTGATGTTTACGTTATGGTAACTCACATAGTGATAGATGTAAGAGGCTTATCAGTAAAATTATTACTGCGGCATAAAATCTTTTCAAATTTAATAGCAAAGCTTTTTCTGACTGAGTGAAACTTCTATTCTAGCCCTGCCAACTAAGAAAATTAATTAATAATGAACGCTTCCGTTTTAACTAAATATGTCAAATTTGACAGATGAGATCATTATACATTAGCGAGTATAATAAACAAGTTAAACAACACGTAGAGATGGGCGTTTTCGTTAAATTTTGTCATCGATGCGCATCGTTAATCAGTGAACCGCATCCGATGCCGGCATCGTTTTTTCTGGCATCGATTTGATTATGCGATTTTCGATTAGGCAAAATTAGTTGCCGGCTAAAGTGTCTGCGTATGAATATTAGATAGGTATTCGGTAACTTTGCCTTATTGAAATCATTTGATACCTATTTTATAACTCTGTAAATTATTTAGAAATACAACATTACGAGTTCTACTGGTAAAAAGTATAGAGGTTGTAGAATAAACATAAGGTAATTAATATTAGTCTTCACTTTTAACAAAATTAGAGTTTACATTAAGAAAAAACAATTTTTCTAATTTGGAACTTGAAAGACGAGATCTTCGTTCATTCAAAATATACCCGGCTTTGGAGAATATCCGTTCGCATGGCACAGAAGTTATCACAATATTACACCTCGAACGGTATATTTCTGCCAACGTCGGGTATATTTTGGAATGACGGAGCCACCATTCATTGGATCGCTCCACGCCCCGTCAACGTTTTGCCGGGGCAAAATTTCGTCTTCCAAGTACAACCGCATCTATCATCAAATCGATGCTTCGACTTGTCATCGCCGCGTTTTCCGTTTCGTAGTCATCTGGCGCCTCTCGCTCGCTCGCATTCGGTGAAGTTCGCATCGGATGTTGCGGGCATCCGTTTTTCAATATGTCGGCATCGGATGCCGGCATCGTGTACTGGCATCGATGCTTAAAAACGTTTTTACAAAAACGACCATCTCTAACAACACGTATAAATACATTAAGCAATGACGAGACATGCAAGGAACTGTACAGCTGGTGCTGTGTACACATATCACGAAAAGAAAAAAGATGCTGCAGCATCTGGTTATGGTACCCAGAACGAAAGACTTGGCAAGGATTCAGTCAAGAGCTTTGACTGCTGTAGTTTAACTTTACAGCCCTGCAGAAACCCTGTCATTAGTAAAGATGGGTACTTATTTGATAAAGAAGCTATTCTAGAGTACATTATCAGTAAAAAAACTGAATATACACGTCAAATGAAGAAATATGAGAAACAGTTGAAGAAAGATGAATCCGAGAAAGCAGAACTTGCTGCAGCTGAAAAAGAAGCAAATTTGATCAAATTTATGAACAGAGAGAAAAATATTAGCAGCAAGAACAAAGAATCGGAAGCCGGACCATCATCGTCTGTGTCAAATCTTTTAAATAATGAAACAAAACAACTACCGAGCTTTTGGGTGCCTTCCCAATTGCCAGAAGCTAAATTTAGCAAAATGGACAAGCCCGACCCCACAGTCTATTGCCCGATAAGTGGAAAACCATTGAAAATGAAGGATTTGATAGATGTGAAATGGACCTTAGTAAATGACCCAGATGATAAAAAATCATTAATTGCTAAGGAAAACAGATACATGTGCCCTGTAACTCATGACATACTGAGCAATGCTGTACCATGTGTTGTTATCAGGTAAATCAAACTAAAATAATCTTATAATGAAAATATTGATGTAAAATTTGTTATAAAATATCGTTCAGTGTGCCTTTTCTGTTTAATGATAAATTCTGCACAAAGAATATGTATTGTGTCGTAAGGGAGTTTACAAACGTTCATGCAGCTGATGAAAAAAAACACAGATCATCAATTTGTGAATCACACAAAGTGTTGTCACTCATGGGGATTGAACCCACAACACTCAGTGCTGTAGAAAGCGGTCAGATAACCGCTTAAACCACTAAGCCATCTGTGCAGTCAACGTCTTTGCTCTATACGGCTCTGAAGTGCCCACTACAAAGCAGGGTTGATTCACTACTTAGTTTATTATTATTTTTCAATCATACTTAGAGAAGAAAAACAGACTTTCTTTGTACAATTAACTAACCACTAGGCGAACAGGCCAAAAACAGGCCTGTTGGCCTAGAAGTCAGTGACCCTTACTGCCAAGACAGAGGTTGTGGGTTCGATACCCATCCAGGGCAAATTTTGTGTGATAAGCATGATCATTTTTGCTTAGTTTAGGATAAGATGGCCGTTTGTGAGATGTCTTGAGGTTATTATTACTATTATTTACAGTTTTTATAGGAATTCTATAAAATCTTCATAGCATGTTTTAATTCTGTTATTATATTACTTATTATAATTTATATGTCTAATGCAGGACAACAGGTGATGTTGTTACATTAGAATGTGTTGAGAAAATCATCAAGAAGGACTGGATACACCCACTCACTGGAGATAAGTTGAAAGAGAAGGACATTATACCGATGCAGCGAGGTGGAACTGGATATGCACTCACCAATCAAAACTTGGAGGGCAAGAATGAACGGCCAGTTCTACAGGCTTAAATAATAAAATAGTAATAATAACAGGTAGTTTCATTTTTCCTCTTTTTTATTATTTCAGTGTTTCTGCCCTACCATAGCACACAGTAACTGTTCTCTCTTCTATGCCTACATACCTGATTTAATCCCGTCTAAGGTAGGCAAAGACAACTGACATACAACTTGCACATTCATCAAGCCTCAAGCCTTCACCATTTGCCATATAGACTTGCTGGTTATAGGTACTTTTAACAGGGTAACATGGTGGTAGTACACTGCCAATTGAGTCAGTGTACGTCTTTTAGGACATGCCCAAAACGCCTTACCCCCTTACAGTGATTTCATCAATTCTTCCATTTACTCTTTGTTTCAACATACCCAAACTACTACAGCCAGAGTCAGAGACAGAGTCTAATACTTTAAGTAGTAGACTCTTTTCTGGAACTATAACCCAGATTTCAAAACTTTTTGTATTAGAGTATTAGTTGAGGACAGCTAAAGATAAAAAATACTTCACTTTCCTCAGGTTATTAATGAGAGTGAAGCTAACCCTAACACTATCACACTTTCAGATTTGGGCCACATAGTAATTTCACCCTACTCTTACCCTTTTTTTTTTTTTTTTTTTAACGTGTGGAAATCCCCTCGGACCGTCACCCCTCCGGGGTTTGCGGCGGGGTGGTGTGTCGGACTCGGACCGACTAATCCACACGGTGTGCCACTCTGCGCCTGTAACAGGAGGGATCCGGGAACAGCTGTTGTTAAGACATCCGGACCCCTCCTAGCGCCAGCCCGCTCCTGGTGCGGGCTACGTCTCAATATATTTTTTCCTCTCTTTAGGCGACGTCCGGCACACGCGGACGCCGCCCCCTCGCGGCTGGCCAACCTAATGCGGGTGGAGGGGAAACCCACCCCGTCCACCCGCGGCCACACTCAGGGCGGCATGAGGCTGTGATAGGCGGGCCTCCGCCGCCCGGTTCGCCGGCGGCGGATCGGGTCCGAGTGGAGGTCGTCCTCCCGGGCCCTCTCCGCCGCCTCCTTCCGCGAGATTACTCTTACCCTACTCTTACCCTATACCAACCTGTCTAGCCAGTATAGTAGATCAAAACCTCCTTTATAAAGAGAGGCCTATGCCCAGCAGTGGATTATGAAAGGCTGTTGATGATGATGATAACAATTTTTACTCATGTCTAAATGTATCTAAATCTATCATAAAAATATTATTTTATACACAATTAACAAAGTAGAAGACAACAGTTTTTATTCATTAGAATTTTATTTTATTACTAACTCCATCTGTCGATAACTATAAAGCCAACAAGACATGTGTAATATTTTATCATCATCTCAGCCGAAAAACATAGGCCTACTTCAATATTTTGTCAATTGGATTGTTATTACTGACGCCATCTGTTGGAAAACTTAAGAATTAGACCACGGATATTGCGTAGTGGTTTAGAGTTCGTGCAGCGTGTCAGCGATGGCGCGCGACTATGGTCGCAGTGACTTCCGGCTACGAAAAACAGTGCAGCGTGCGGGCAACTATAGTTAAACCGCCGTAAGCTTGGCCCTCCTGATGGTTTGCGGGACGCGGGGCGGGTGATGCGCTCGGCTATACATGACACGATGTACTAACTCGATATCTTCAGATTTATTTGTTTGAGATTTAATCTACACACGATGTAATAAAAATCGAATTTATTTCCATGTATTATAATGTCAGTGTATTGTAAGTTTTTATGATTAATTGTTAAATTTAATACTGTAAATTAATTTAATAAAATCACCTTATCTTCATCATGTAAATATATTCAGATACAATTTAAAAATTAAGTAAAATAATAAATATTCTTTATTAGAACTTTAACAGTAGAACCTCTGCAAGACGAACTTCAAGTTTTTAAATCTTTTTGTGACGCAGAGTCGGCAGATTATCCATGTTGCAAAATAATACCGTGTGTAGCAGTCTTAAGAAAAATAACACGTACAGCCATGCTTTCACGTCAGTCACTGTCGGCGGACAGCGACGCACTAGCTAATTGGTTGAATGCACCCCCGCCCCGCGTCCCCCAAACCATCAGGAGGGCCAAGCTTACGGCGGTTTAACTATAGTGATGAGCGACTACTTGCGACCGCACGATGACAATTTATAATTTATAGTCCATCAACGTGGTGCGCGACCGTCCCGCGGGGTGACAGACGGAGGCGGGGACGAGGTACTCAAGATGTCAGCGGGTAGCGGGTGGTACCCGCGGGGCGGGAAACACTTCTCTTCGTGTGTAGCCGAGTGCTAGAATGACGCGCTACCTCGCCCCCGCCACTGTTTGTCACCCCGCGGGCCGGTCGCGCACGAGATTGCCGGGTTATAGTTATCTATTTGGGGTTGGAGCTGAACCTACTAATTGATTAGTTTCCGTGAAGAAGATCAATCAATCAGAACTTTAATTGTTGGAAAATTCTGTTTTACGGATTCGAGTCATCAACAGGATGAGGAAAAGATTTACGGGCGGTTATGAACTGCACCTTTTGTTTCCCACATCCATTACTTTAATAAAATTGATAACAAAAAATCGCAGTCGCAATTCAAATAATTAATTCTTGTAGTTGCTTCTGAATTGTCCCGATTTAGTGATACGGGTAAACGAAAAAAAAAACTAAGAATATATCCATAAATTTTCTCTACAACACATTTCACCCATTACACTTCTAGTAATCTTAAAACATCACAGAACGAACAGTGATTGAATTAACTGAATTATGAATTGTCTAAAAACAAGTATTCTGCTTAAAAAAAACACTTGCCGGCAGTGTATACTGTTGATCAACATTAAATCTCGTAGAAATGTCAAACTTGACGTATAAACAGAGATGAGACGAGACTGCGAATACTACGAATTACGTTTCATCATTGCAATATCAATTACTAAGACTATTCGATATACTCATATTACACTCAACGTTGGATGTTTAGTACCTTTTATGACATTGAAACTAGATCAGAATTGAATTTTTAACAAAGGGTGGGTTGATAAGGACCATTTTTCGCCCATCACACACTCGAAAAAAAAATTACCGATTTCAGAATAGTTTTAAACACCTTTGTATAATTGAAGATATATGTATACTTTTTTGTTTTCTGTAATTTACGTAATAAATAATATAGAAAGTCCACAAGCTTAAAGTCACTCAGCGTGCCATGGAAAGGGGTATCCTGGGCGTTTCTCTAAGGGATCGCATCCGAAATGAGATGATCCGACAAAGAACTAAGGTCATCGACATAGCCCACCGGATTAGCAAGGTCAAGTGGCAATGGGGTGGACATATTAGCCACAGAACCGACAACCTTAGTTCAGCATAGTTGGGGTAAACGAGTTCTTGTGTGGATACGTAATCTAAGCAAACGTAGTGTAGGACGCCCACAGGCCAGGTGGAGTGATGATTTGTGCAAGATGCCTGGCAGGAGTTGGATGCAAGAAGCCGAGAATCGATCGAAGTAGCGTGCAATGGGAGACGCTTATGTCTAGCAGTGGATTGCGATAGGCTGGTGATGATGATATTTTTAATTTTATTTTAAAGTCAATTTCTCTAAAATACTTTCGATTATTAGAAGTATGTAGGTGAATAGTATGCCTTTAAAAGCTATTCAAATTGAGTATAACAGACATTCAGACTGCATCAGCAATTGGAGCTGCGTTTTTAGTACGTGGGGTTCACGTGATACCGTCTATTTATTACCACTTATTTTTAAATAAAACAGTCAAGTATTAAGTACAAATTTACTAATTCTCTAGAAAATATACTTAAATTATTTAATTATTCTTAATATTATTATTATTATCCTTATATTATACTATGAATTATCAAATGTGAACAAATCCAGTTGGAAGTCCACACCATTATTTCTAATTTCAGTCTCAGGGTACACTAAGTCATTACCTAACGTTTCTAGAAAGTTTAATACTGATTCGCCTTGGCTTGCCAGCAGGCGACCGTCAGATACGTCCAATGATGGTATATCACAATTGTGAGTCTCGTTTTTTATCATTGATTTATCTACACTATTTGTCCCATGTAAAAATGCGGGCTCAATCAGACTACTTGATTTTGTAAAACTTTCTAAATTATTTTCTGATTTTACACTTGTACTTATTATCCATTCTTTTAGAACAGGATCTATATTTGAGTCATCTTTACATGACAAATCTACATCATCCTTAAAAATGTCGTGTAAACTACTATCTGTGGTAGGCATCGGCACGTGTAAATTATCTACAGAATTTGGTATTGGTAACTGTAAGTTATCAGAATCAGGTAAAGGCACATGTAAAGCGTCATTTGGACTTGGTAATGTGACATGTAAACTAGTATCAGAATTCCCTAAATTTGCGTGTTGGACATTATCGGAATTTGACAATGGGACTTGCAAACTATTATTTGCGTTTTGTAAACCTATATGCAATTCATTGACTAAATTTGGTAAACTTACATGGAGATGATTGTTTGAACTTGACATGGGTAAATGTAAATTACCGCTTGAACTTGACATAGGAATTTGCGAACTTTCACTGGTACTTGGACACATAGGTACATGTAAGTTATTGTCTGAATTTAACATAGTTTGTGAATGTTTACCATCGTCCTTATCATTCATTTCTAGTGCTCGAATAACTGGTCCCTGATAATTTTTGCTCACTTTACTGATTTTGCTAGAATTAATTTGGAATTTGACAAAACCAGTGGATGTTGATGGTTTTATTGGTGACGATCGGATATCAAAATGTGCGCTGTGAAATGGTATGTAACTGCTTTTCTGTTTACTTTGATTAGTAATAACAATATTATTACTAGCAGTAACCTCAACGTTGTTACGATCAGATACATTTCCTGATGTGCAATTTATTTTACATTCTTTGCTATTTTCTAACAGTTTATTGATATCGTTCTCAGGCACCATAGCTAAAGTACTTGTAGTATCTTCTTCTGCATTAAATATAAAGTCATCTGTTCCCAAGTCTATAAGTGTATCACCTTCAGATTTCAGTCTCATTTTCTTGGCGGATAATTCGTGTGTCTTCGGTTTGAGTTTCCATATTCTTTTACTGACCGTCGGCCATTTCGCAACGGAATTTATTCTTGCGCAGTTCTCCGTCTCACTTTCAGGACTCGGTATGTCTTCATTGTGCATCGATAGTGCAGATGGTTTGTGATCTTTGATATATTTGTTTAACTTTGGAGGATTATGTATGCAGTATCCATTTTTATCTTTGACACAATTTAAGGCTTCAACATCAATATTGTACTTTCCAGGATTCATACCAAATAATCTGAAAAAAATTATTGAAATAATTTAATAAAATGAAAATTCTTAAGTGAATAAGGCATTTAACAGATTGTTGATATATTTTACGTACCTGCCTACATCGTCGTTTATTGTACATGGTTTTCCTTCTGAGCCGTCCACCTTCTTCAACAAACAAGGCAGCAATGACTTGAGTTTCACTATCAGCTGCTCCAGCTGCTGAATGAAGATATTTGTTTTGTCTCCCTCTGAACCACTTTTTATAATTGCCAATAAGCAATGAAAAAGGTTGGAATGAATTTTTGCAGGTATATGTGTAGGATGATTTTCGTAATGTTTCTGAAGCCGGTATAAACTTCCAAACTCCTGGAACATCAACTTATATTAAAAACGTAGCTAATGTGTTTCTTCTGCTAAAGATCTTTAATGCTAGAACTTTAGGAATTTCGTTATAACATATTTAGAATTTTGACCCTATAAATGGTGTACATACAGCCCGCAACGGTGAGATGTTGCTGCTTCAATTCCTGATTAATTTTTTGGACCTAATCTAATAGGTTTTTAAACAGAAACAGAAATAATCAAGTCCCTGGACTATTAGAGCCAGAGTCCCTCAGGGCAGTGTCATGGGCCCTAGTAATGGGCATTAATGCTACTTAGATTTAATTTAATTATTGCCGAATTTTTGTCTTAGCACGTTAATTGCTAATGCTAATATTATTTGCTTATATTGCAATTCTGTACGAGAAGATTAAATGAAAAACGATCGGCACTTGTAGTTTTTGATGATATTCACATTGATGCGAATGAGAAAGTGCGCGCTTTATGAATGTGAAGCGTTAACGAATGAAACAACAATTCATACAATTAATTTGCTAACTGCTAATTAAGAATTGACAATTAAATATGAGTGTGAAAACTAATTAATCCATTACTAATGGGCCCTGCTATATACAATCAATACAAAAAATAAACAAGAAATTTTAAATCAAGAAATTACTTACAGCAGAACATTGAAAACATGAAATAATCGTGCCAGTTTTTTTCTTCGACTTATGTGGAGAATCTTCAGGTAATATCTGCCTTGGAAGTTTTACCTTTCTACCACTCCTCGTTACTTTAGTCTGAAATAAAAAGAAGTTGATGTTCACAATATTATTCCTGTGTCAAAATATAATTACACCAAATTCAGAATTAACTATTTTAATTAAAAATCCATAGGGGTTGCATACACTCATGTCTGTATCCTTGATGGGGGGCAATTTCAAACCTGGAAACCGGGCACTTTAGGATATGGGAATAATGGAAGTATGATGAAATAAAATGATATCCCTTTCTATGAAGCCCTCTTCATCAGACTGTCAAATCATCATCTGATCATTTAATTACTGATACTTACTGATCATCATCATAATCATCAACAGCCTTTACACAAAGTGAATTACACAAAGTGTTGGACCCTGTGGGGATCAAACCCACAACACTCAACGCAGTGGAAAGTGACGAGGTGACCGCTTAAACCATTACATCATCCGTGCAGTGAACATATAATTTTATACTATAGAGTACATGTTAGTAATCAAATATCTACCTCAACAGGAGGTTCTGGCTCAGGAAGTTCGTCAACAACTTCTTTAACAGGCATCATTTGTTTCATCAGCTTAAGTTTTTCTTCTATAACTCTTTTCGGAATCTTTGTTAGCTTCTTCTCCTTCACAAGAATTTTTTTTTGTCCGACCACTGTTAAATCCTTAGGGGATACCACTCTAAAATATCAGCAATAATATTTATTAATTTTTATAGTTTATTTGAAGTAGTTTTTTTTGTACAGTCATTACTACTACCAGGTCCAATTCGACGGGCACGTGAGGTACCTACACGTAAAAATGTATTATGTAATATAATATATTGTGTGTGTGTTCGTATGTTCCTGAATAAATTGTTTTCTTCCTTCTTTCTTTCTTTACTAATAAAGGGATCGCATTTTATGAATGTTAAAAGTTTCACACAATGAGTCTCGTAAAAAAATATGAATTACTTCCTGGCATTTTTTTTTTGAGAAAAATGCAAATTATGAATTTATACAAATTGTATTGTACATGCATTGCAAAGTGCTAATATAGTGAGGTACGCGGCATTGAATAAGCGCGCCTGGTCCCCATATCATTTGATTGTTATTGAATCAATAACATTGATCATCAATAATATTGATGATCAATGTTATTATTAATAGTTTATATATGTCTGAAAAGTGTATTTTCAGATATTATTGATAGTTATTGATTTTTTTTAGGAAAATGTTTTTTTTTTACTATTTAACTTACTATTTTAAAGAATAACGTAGAATTATAAAAGTGTGTCTAGTAATTCTCACAATAACAATCTGAATCCACTATTTTGCTTTTTGGTACATCATCACTTACACCCAGCATACTAATTATGAAGTTATTGTTACCTAAAAACTAAGTTACTTTTAGAAAGTAACTTAGTTTTTAGGTACATGCTATACTGCAGTTTTTAAAGGGTCTCACTTGTAAATATAGCGAGTATTCGTAACAGGATCATATGTTGGTTCCGACTTTGTCTTATCTGGGTCTTTGAACATTTTAAGCGCTTGGTTCACCATCTTGACCTGTTCCTTACTTAAGTGATTTAAGCTGTAAAAGTAAAATAACATATTACTTATATTAATAGTAAAAATAAAATTGTATATAATTATGATGTTGTGACAAATATGGAGCCTTCATTACCTATGATATGTTTCTCCTAATTTAATTAATTGCACTGATGTGTGGTTGGATTGGTTAAGGCTGGGAATACTGAAAAATAAAGATTTACCAAAATGTTTTTGTTAAATGAACTCATTGCAACGAACACCAAAAGGAGAGCATTAAATTTATGCCAAATTAAACAATCAAAAGGTTGGGAGTTAAGTACATCAGAGTAATTATTAATGGAAATTAATAATAGTATAATGTGGTAACTCCTACTGCATTTAATATTGTGTCTTGAAATCTGATTTTATGCCATAAGACAATAGTATATTGGCACTGAGATTGCAAAGGCACATAATGTTTCAAGGATTAAAAAAATAAATTTAGAAATTAATTTTCAACAATAAGGAGTGGTTTATGATGGAGTGTCAGTTAGTGAATCAGTCAGTGAGTTTAGTCAGAAACTAAAAATTAATCAAACTAAATATTTTTGCTTGTTTGGTATTTCTAAAGGCTCCTGAGGATGACGAGAAATATGGTGAATATTAATATATATTAACTATTTTTTTTTAACTAATTCTAACTTTCAGGAACAAAAGGATTTGCAGAAACAGTTCTTAAAATAGCATTTAAGAAACTTTCTTGATTATTTGATTGTCAAAACAAAGCATCTTTTACTCATTTCTGTTTTTTTTTAATCTGCTAAATATTACAGTGTGTATATTAGAGTGGAAGTTAAAAGAAAATCTTCACAAATGCAGTATAAGGCAGCTGCGTGAATTTCATAGTAAGTTTTGCTGCCTTAAAATCAAGAGCAGACTGAGAAATTAACCCAAACTTATAGTACTCCAGACCTATGCATCGAGGAATTAGTAACTAGGATCAAGGAAGCCGGAAATGTCTTTTATTCATGTAAAATTATTAATTTATATTTTAATCCGCTATATTTTTTCAATTGGCCACTTCATATTATAGATTATGATACTTTATGAACCATGTTTATAACATGAAGACCAATTCAAGGTTTGTCTCATAAATAGTGTCAGCTGTATAATATATAACATTCTCTGAAGCATAAGTATGAAACAGATATCAATCTACTCACTTCTCTTTTGGTTTTATCTTTGGCAACACTTTTTCCGGCCGTGTCCTGTTGATAATAGGTACATCTTTCAGTTTAACTATTTTTCTATCAATATCTATTTTTGGTACTGTATTTACTTGTACTGAACTGCCGGTGGTTGTCGTTACGTTCGGTTTCAAAACAATGTTGTCAACTACATATTGTTTATTTACATTTTCAGTTTTAGGTAACAAAAAGCTTGCCAATTTTAAATTGTTTCCTATCAGTACGCCTTCTTTCTTCTTGGGTAATGAGAGCCTCGCGGAGGCATCAACGTTAACTAACCCATTTTCTATATTCCCGCTGTTTTCGTAAAATGTTTTCAGGTTATTACTAATGGGTTTAGGTTGATCTACAACACTAGAAGCTAATACGTAAGTATTGGCCTGTAAGGGAAAATATTTATTTTAATAAACATAGTTAAATAATAGGTGAAATGTATTTACAAAAATAGTCATTACCTGAGTAGAACCAGGGTCTTGTATCAAATATATGGGGGCGTACTGACAATTATTCACAATAATACCTTCTACAGAAGTATTCATATTTTACTTATACAGTATTTTACATTACATTTAATATAAAATTAGATACTAAACATAAGATATTCACTAAAAATATAATACCACCGCGACGTTGACAATTGTTGACATAAATCAATTTGGAATACCCAGCTCCTCTTAAAAAATCTACTAAACATTTAGTAGTTTTCTTTCATTGTCTTTTCGATCTCGAATGTATAGAAAAAAAAAAAACAAAAATTCAAATACTTTTAATAAATAAATTTAAAAAGAAAAGGTAACTAACAAATCTCTAAATTAAATTGAGTAAAGGTCCACTTTTAGAATAAAGTTAAGGATGACGAGTCACGACTTAATACATCGTTTTTAACAAAATCGATGTTATCAGACATATATCGACAGTATCATGACTTTTATTAAATTACAAAGTAATAGATTTTAAATTATCGTATCGTTAACTAATTGAAAGCTAAAATAACTGAAAGCTAGATCTAAACCTTAGTGGTTCTGAACAGACAGAGCCAAAGAAGAGAAGACAGAACAAGTTTTTTATTATTTTACGACCAGCAATATCAATCTCAACACGAAGTCATCATCCACTGCTGGACATAGGCCTCTCCTTAGAAAGGAGGTTTTGGCCTACTATACCACGCCGGCCAGACGGCTTGACGGCTCTTATAGGATTTGTGTGTATGGAACATGGGTTACGACTGGGCCCTACAAGGTCACTCCCCCCCCCCCCCTCCGGGTTGGGCGTTATTTGCTACGCCGATGACACACTGGTTACAGCTAATGGGGCGGACTTTCAAGAGGCCGCGCGTCTAGCCACCAGGGGAGTCTCTCTCACATTGGCCGTTACTCCCCCGTTTTATTTGGAGGCAGAAGTGCTCGCCGAAGTACGCTACGTCCGTTCGTCCGTCTAATGTACCCGAAGGTGGTGCTCTCGCCTAGGTGCTAGGAGGGATCCGGATTACAGGCGCAGAGTGGCACACCTTTTGGTTTTAGACGGTCCGATTCTGACAACATCCTTTTTTTTTTTTTTTTAACGTGTGGAAATCCCCTCGGACCGTCACCCCTCCGGGGTTTGCGGCGGGGTGGTGTGTCGGACTCGGACCGACTAAAACCACACGGTGTGCCACTCTGCGCCTGTAACAGGAGGGATCCGGGAACAGCTGTTGTTAAGACATCCGGACCCCTCCTAGCGCCAGCCCGCTCCTGGTGCGGGCTCCGTCTCAATACATTTTCCTCTCTTTAGGCGACGTCCGGCACACGCGGACGCCGCCCCCTCGCGGCTGGCCAACTAATGCGGGTGGAGGGGAAACCCACCCCGTCCACCCGCGGCCACACTCAGGGCGGCATGAGGCTGTGGTAGGCGGGCCTCCGCCGCCCGGTTCGCCGGCGGCGGATCGGGTCCGAGTGGAGGTCGTCCTCCCGGGCCCTCTCCGCCGCCTCCTTCCGCGAGATTACTACCTCGCAGAAGGTTGCGACCGCGGTAAAACAACTGTCGCTACCGGCCATGGAGCGTACTACGGCCGGTAGCGAGAGATCCACTCCGATGACTGCAGTGAGGGCCCGGCGCTGCGCCGCCCATGCGGGGCAGACCGCCAGCGTGTGCTGGGCCGAGTCCTCACTGCAGTCGCAGTGGTGGCAGGCGGGACTCAGTTCCCTCCTAGCGACCGTGTGCAGGTACTTTCCGAAGCAACCATGCCCGGAAAGCACCTGCGTCAGCCGGAAGGAAAGGGTCCCGTGCTGCCGCCCTGCCCACTCGGCGATGACCGGCTGGAGAGCCTCCACGGCGGCAAAGCCAGCGCGTGGAGTCTCCAGCCGGAACGACCAACGAGCCATCGTGGCTCGGCGAGCGGCTTCGCGCCACTCGCGCACATCCTCGGGCGGAGGGCGAAATCCGCTCTCCGCCCGGAAGTCAGCCACTCGCCGATAAACTTCGGCGAGCACTTCCGCCTCCAAATCCCACGGGGGAGTTCCGGCCAATGCGCATGCCACCTCCGTCGAAACGGTGCGGTAACCGCGTATGGCTCTGACCGCCATTACCCTCTGAGGGCGCCAGAGGCGTACCCTATTCTGGGCGGTCAGAGCCGCCGCCCACACCGGTGCACCGTACAGTGCCATTGACCGGACAACCCACGTGTACAGCCGTCTTGTCGCGACGCTGGGTCCACCCATATTGGGCAAGAGTCGCCCTAGGGCAGACGCAGCGCCGACCAGCTTTGGAGCAAGCTGTCGGAAGTGCTCGTCGAAGAGCCACCTCCCGTCGAGGATCAGGCCCAGATATTTCATCTGGGCCCGAACCGGTACGAGGACCGAGTTGACCACTATTGAGGCGCCAGGGGGTGGACCACGACGGGGCCCATGGAATAACAGGGCCTCCGTCTTATCGAGGGCCACCCATAAGCCCAGCGCCTCAATGCGCCCGACCACCAGGGAGACTCCCCCTGTGGCCAGGCGCGCCGCCTCTTGGAAGTTTGCCCCCCGGGCTGTCACGAGGGTATCGTCTGCGTAACAGATTACACCCAGCCCGGGGGGGAAATCGGCGCGAAGGGCCCAGTCGTACCCTATGTTCCACAAGAGGGGTCCAAGAACAGACCCCTGTGGAACACCGCACGACATGGGCCGACACCTCAGATTACCTTCTCGGTCCTCGTACACGACGGTACGCTCCTCTAAATAGTCTGCCACCAGCCGCCTCAGGTACTTTGGCACCCCATGATAGTGGAGTGCTTCCCTGATGCAGCTGAATGGCAGACTATTGAATGCGTTGGCGATGTCTAATGACACCGCCAACAGCACGCCGCCATAGCTCACGGCCTCTTCGGTCACGGCCCTCAGGCGCAACACGGCGTCGACTGTCGAACGCCCCGCCCGAAAACCAAATTGGGCGTCCGACAGATCGGGGCCCACCTCGCAGAGGTGCCGGACGATGCGGGCAGAAAGAACCCTCTCAAACAATTTGCCCGCCTCGTCCAGCAGCACGATGGGCCTATAGGCCGCGACCGAATCGGCAGGCCGTCCCGGCTTCCTCAATAGGACCAGCTTCCCGCTCTTCCAGCACTCAGGGAAGCGTCCCGACGCCAAGCTAGCGTCGAACACCTCCCCGAGGCGGTCTGCCATGTGGTTGAGGGCCAGGGCCAGCACTCGGGCCGGTACCCCGTCTGGCCCAGGGGCGGTGTTCTTGGAACGGATCCGTAGAACAGCCGCCCCTACCTCCGAATCCCGGACGGGCGGAACATTGTCCTCCCCGTGCTCCCCGTCGTCTCCGGCCAGGGAGGCCATCGACGGGGGAGTGTGTTCCGCTCGTTGTGGGAAAAGGCCCTCAACCACTTCTCGCAGGAAGCTGGGCTGGAGAGTCTCCGTAAGGGGGGGGCCCGACGCGCGGAGCTTTTGTCGCACCGCGCGGTAAGGGCGACCCCAGGGGTCACGATTAAGACCCTCCAGCATCTCCTGTCTCTTTTCCTCTTTGGCGCGGCTAATGGCCAGCTTCAGAGTTTTCCGAGCCCGTCGGTACTCCTCATGAAGCCGGTCCTCCTCACCGTCTCCACGGTGACGCCGCCGACTGCGCGTGTAGGACCTCCGGGCACGTGTACAGGCCGCACGGAGGTCCGCCAGCTCCTGGGACCACCAGTAGACCTCCTTCCTTGGAGGCCGACGACCTCGAACGCGGGGCATGGCCGCATCGCATACATGCGTAATCGCATCGCGAAAGCGGCCAGCCCCCACGTCGACCTCCTCGGTCGGAGCCTGAGGAGACAGCCACGAGTGAATTATGGCTGCCTCCTCTAGTAGGTCCCGGTTCAGCCTGGCAACAGCCCACCGCGGAAAGCGGGATAAACGCCGCGCCACGTGACCCCTACTGGAGTCCTGGGTCCGGGAGAGCTCAAATCGGATATACAGGTGATCCGAGAGCGTCTCAACCTCTTCCAGGACACGCCAGTTCCTTACTCGTGCGGCGAGGGCAGGGGTAGCGAACGAGAGGTCCACTATCGACCCCCCCTGCTGTCGCACGCACGTGTTGGTGGAGCCTCTGTTTAGAAGACAGAGGCCCACCGAGGCCGCCCACTCCTCTACGGCCTCGCCCCTGGCGTCCGTCCTGGGGGAACCCCACGCAATGGACTTTGCGTTGAAGTCCCCCAGCACAAGGACGTGCCCAGACGCTAGTCGCCGTATCGAGGTCTCCAAGCTGGTCAGGAAAACCTCGAAGTCGTTCAAACTCCGGTTGGGGGAGAAATAGACACCATATATGGTGATCCCCCCCCACTCGACGGCAACATATCCAGTGCCCTTGTCTCTTAGCGACAAGGGCGGGGAATGAGCCGTCGTGGAACCGACGACTGCCACGGAGCCGTCCCAGTCACCCATCCAGTTTGGACGGGGAGGGACAGAATAGGGCTCCGCGACTACGGCAACACCTATCGACCACTGTGCCATGGTTTGCAGGAAGAGATCCTGCGCCGCGGCACAGTGGTTCAGGTTCGTCTGGACCAGGAGGTTGGAGACTTGATCCATTACTGGATCGTCTCTACAACCTCCTCCATGGGCGACGACGTCGACGCACGAACTATATCGGAGGCAGCCTGGGTCGACTGGCTAACCCCCGACGTCTGCCGAGAACTGCGGGGAGGCTTGCAGCCTCTCTGCCCCATCTGATGATTGGCGGGCTTATTGCCCGCCGCACACACTGGGCAGTGAGGGGCGGCAGAGCATTCTGCCGCCTTATGCCCCGGTTGACCGCAGCGGAAACACAGTCCGCCGCAGTCAAAACAACTGTCGCACTTGACGCGCGTGTGTCCCGTGGCCAGGCATTTAAAACACCTCATCGGTCTCGCCGCCAGGACTGTGATCCTGGCGCTCACGAAACCGATGAGCAGCCTGCCGGCGTCGGCCAATACTTTGGCCGACGCTACGGGACAGCTGACCCACACGGCGCCAAGCCCTCCTGGACCGGGGCGGATGGTGCCGACCCTGACGTTGTCCGCGCTGCACCCCGTCTTCTCCCGGATTACAGCGCGGACATCTTCGGCCGTCACTGAGTCGTCCAGGCCCGAGATGCGCAGTTCCGCGCACTTGGTAGGCCTGGCGACCCTGACACCATCAGTGGAAGCAAATATTAACCGCAGCCTCTCGGCGAAGGAGTCCGCCGTCTTTGCGCCTTCAGCCCCAGGGAACTCGAGGACTCGAGCTCCCGTCTGGGCGAGGCGCATCCTGACCCCCACCGTTCCAAAGTCGCTAGCGAGGCTATCCCGGGCCTTTTTAAACACGGCCGCGTAGGACAGCCCGCCGTCCGCCGCCTCCGGGGACACGGTCACCACTACAGCCGCGGTTTTGGGCGGCTGCAGCTTCCGCGGCCTCTTTGTGGAGGCCGTTGCCACCGGTGGCGAAGGCTGGGCCTGGGCTGCTTTTTTGGCAGCCTTTTTGGCCCGCCTTCGGGACTTCTTGGAGCCCCTCGCCTCCTGCCAACCCTCGTTGGAGGGGGCAGGTGCGGAGGGGCCCGGCAGGGGTGTCGGAGTGGGGAGCGGAGGGAATGCCACTCCGCTCCTCGGCGCCGTTTTAGGCCCCGTCTTGGCCGGCGCCTGGGGATGTGCCTTGGCCGGCGCCTTAGCCGGTGCCTTGGCCGGCGCCTGGGCCGGTGCCTTGGCCCCCCTCCTCGGCTTTTGGGGAGCCGATGGAGTCGGGGCAGACGCCGCCGCCGCGTAGGAGACGCGGCCTCCCACTACGGGGAGCGCGGTCGGAGCGGCGGCCTTAGGCCGCTGTGTCGACGCGAGCGGGGGGCGCATACTCGGCGCAGGAGGCAATCTCGCCTCCAGGCCAGCCAGGCGTCCGTCCAGCATATTCCCAACTGCGATGAGGATTTCTCGCAGTTGGGAGTCAAATGCCCCTGAGTTGGTGGTAGGGGCAGGCTGGGACGCGGACGGGGCTTCCCGCTCGGGGAGGTTCGCCTGGAAGCGGGCGAACTGAGCGCTCAGCTCGTTCACCCGCTCCGTCAGCTTCTCGTTGGCCACCTGCAGGCGAGAGACGTCGCCCGCTAGGCCCTCCACGACCTCCGACAAAGCGGAGGAGGAGTCCTTAAGGGCCCTCACAAACGAGCCCTTAAGGTTCACGGATTTGGTGGCCACCTTGTTGATGACGGCCACCGCCGCTTTCGCCCTCTCCTGCACGGACACGGGAGCCTGGGGGGCATTTCCCCCCACCGGCTCCCGAACCTTGAGCAGGAGATCCGCGATCTCCTCCTCCGCTACGGCCTCGCCGTCCACTCGTACGCTCCTGTAGGACTCAGCGTTTGAGAACGCGGAGCCTGACGGGGTCGAGACCGAGGCCGAGGCCGGTTTACGCGCCCTCCCTCGGCGGCTGCTTGCCACCTTTGGTGGCATCATTTCGCCGGACGTGTCGGTCCCCTCTTCCCTGGAGCGTCCGCGTTTCCTGCTGTCGCTTCGTTCCGCCTCCATGGCCTCCGCGCCATCCGACGAAGCGGCGGATCCGGAACGCAGCCGATCCGATGCTCTTCGGCTCCCAGAGACCAGAGTCAGACTGACCTCTGGGAGCCCCATCGAGATAGGCGTTCCTGACACCATCTCACCCTCAGTGGACGACCCATCCGCTCCACTGTTCTTCTTCTCCCTCCTTGCCTTCGTTGCCGTATCCGTTTGACTTGCCTTTTTCCGTTGAGTTTGGTTTTCCGATCGTTTGTCTATATTTTTAACATGTTCCATAATAATCCCACGAGTGGGGGAGAACTAAAGGTCCACCCGGGCAGAGATCCCCCATTACCCGGGCAAGCGTAAGTTTTTAACCCAACCGAGGGGTCCGCAGGTACCTCGGCTTGGAGTGCGCTCGCGACTGAACTTCCCATCAGCCATGCATCCCCTGGCCACGCACCAGAACACGGGATTCGGGGAATTTTTTAGAGAGGTTATCTTCCTCGCGGTCCGGGCGGTTAAGCCAAGACCCTCGCCCCCGATCAGAGCCGCGAGACTTAACCACAGCGCTCTTCTCGGGATTGCGATATGCCGACGGTTGACAGGGAGACTACGTCCCCCTGCCTGCTCGGTGGTAGTGTGAGTACACGCCGAGCCCGTCCTCCTTTCTCCACCGCTATCAGCGGAGAAACTGTGGCCCCTACAGGGCCCCGCCATCAGGTTTTTTACCGAGGTTTCCTCCTCCATGCTCCGAAGAGCGAAGAGCCAGCAGGGCAACCGGCAGACACGCCCACCCTGCTGGACCAGGCCTTGCCCGAGAGCCGATGAACGGCTGCCTCTTCTGCTAGAATATTGGCCGCTGGCGATAATCCTCTCCTCCAAGAGGACAAGGAGGAAACAGTACCATCGCCAGCGTTTCCAGGGTGCACCACGAGGAGGTTTTCTAGCCCAGCACCCCATTCTGACAACATCCTGCCGCAACCCCAGTGGTGTGACGGCCCGAAGTGTTTTCCACACGTTAAAAAAAGTCTGTGTCAAGTTTTCCTTTTAAACATGAAGTGTTTTCCGCAAATTAGGCTAAATAAAGAGTTCACTTATAAAACTAACACAAAATTATACCCTCTAGTCGATAAAACAAAATCAAATTCTCAAAACGTTAAAGACCAAAGAGCTAGCCTCTTAACACCATTACGGTATGTCACAAAGATACAATCATTTTTATTAATTTATTTTTCTAACTAGTATTTGACATTTAAGCGACTGTTTAGATTGCTTTTTTAGGAATATTTAGAATAACACTAATTATGATTTAATTGGTTATTTTATAAAAATAATGACTCTGTGTTTATAATTTATAAATATAATAACGCACATTCGATCAAATCAAACAGCGCTTTCTAATTAAAATCTTTTCAAAGATTGCAGGAAATTGACGATATGTGTCGATGACTCGAAAGTATCGACTTGTATGTTTTATTTTCCCGATCCAAATATCTATTTATTATTTTTCTCGAAGTTTACTATGTTCATTTATTTTAGTGCCAGCTTAGGAAGGGTTTAAATTTAAATCTCTCTTAATAAATAATTTAAACGAAAAAACTATTTTAAGAGTTGGCAGCATTGGTTGTAGCTACACCATAGACTAACAAACTTAACCTCTTTCTTTATCCCAGAAGCTTTGTAACGAGGTGATTATCGAGTAAAATATTTTTTAAACTATAAAAATGCGACCAATTGTTACTTTATTTCGCACCAACTATAAGATTTTTAGTTATATTAGTGTTTTCTAATGGAACAGTTATTTCAGTACCTATTAGTGATTTGATTTGAGACTCCACGTGTTGTGTGCAATTGTGGGTGATTGAAACCTGGTTTTTTTTCAGGCACAAAAATGACGAACTCCAAGGGTTATCGTCGTGGTACCAGGGACTTGTTCGCCCGCAGGTTTCGCACTGCTGGGACGATACCTCTCGCAACGTATATGAAAGTATATAAAGTCGGCGATATCGTTGACATAAGGGTGAGTGCCTGTGTGATGTGCATTTTACTTTCATCATTGAAACGATGTTTGAATTAATTATACTATTACTATTATTTTAATGACGTGTAATCAGTCTGTGTATTAGTTTTAAAATTCAAGTGTCTTATTAATAGGATTTTTTAATAATTTATATATTTACACAATATCTAAATCGTTTTTGGGTTTAATAATTATAGTAATTTCATAAAGGTTATTTTTTAAAAGAATAATATTATAGTAAAGAAATAAATAAACACTAAAACATAAAAACTTAAAATGGTATGAAGTATGCTCAAAGTCAATATGTTATTCTGCTTGCAGGGCAATGGTGCAGTTCAGAAGGGTATGCCACACAAAGTGTACCATGGCAAAACTGGTAGAGTATACAATGTCACACAACATGCACTCGGTGTCATTGTTAACAAGCGTGTCCGTGGTAGAATCCTACCAAAACGCATCAATGTCCGCATTGAGCATGTCAAGCACTCCAAGTGCAGACAGGATTTCCTCAAGAGGGTGAAGGAAAATGAGAGGCTTCTGAAGGAAGCTAAGGCATCTGGCAAGATTGCGAACTTGAAGAGACAACCAACAGGACCTAAACCCGCTCACATTGTTAGTGGTACAGAGAAACCTGTATTACTGGCTCCCATCCCCTATGAGTTTGTAGCCTAAACCTGGTAATAAAATAATTTGTAAGGATATACAGGTTTTATTTAATATCTTTTTGATTTATATTGCTTTATTATGGTCTGACCCCTAATGATTCACAACTTTAACACCTTAAAGAGTACAGCACTTATATAAGTGGTAACAAGCAAATGAATTCGCTGAGCATGTTATTTATTTAAGTAATTATTGTAGGTAGTCCCAGGCTGGACTGCAAAATAAAATAAATACACAAACTAATACCAGTTTTTGTTGCAATGGCTTGGTTGTACCTTACAGTGAAAAAGTTAAAAACCTAGGGATCTATATATTGGGTGACCAGGAACCGAGTTAAATGCTGATTCTGAGGTTCCTTCTTTCTGAAGATTTGCTTAGTTTTTCTGGTATAGCTTCGGGAGATTCAACTAACGACTATTAAAGAACTTAACCATAGGTATGTGAGTTCACATCATCAACAAAGATTGTACTCTATGAGTATTTGTGATTCTAATTGTGCTTTGAGCTGAAATAGTCAGATAATGCAGACTGAGTATCACGTTAGGAACATGCGAGTCGCAATTTTAATATTGGCTATACAACTTATTAATTCCATTTTTCAGGCTTATCCGTTTCTGAAATGTTTACATAAAATACTGATACGCAACCAACTAAACTAAATATATTCGTAATCCGTCACTACACGGTCAATGTGTCAGGTCACATTGACCGTGTAGTGACGGATTACGAATACGGAATGTCACCAACTCAATTCATCCCGTGGGTGTCGTGAAAGCCGACTAAGGGCGCAAAACAACGCAGGACACAAGTACTACAAAAATAAGGAAAACTTGACACATACCCTATACCAACCCATCTGGCCAGCGTGGTATAGTAGGCCAAAACCTCCTTTCTAAGGAGAGGCATATGTCCAGCAGTGGACTATTAAAGGCCGTTGATGTGACAGCTGAGGGCCGAGTGCAAGTTTATTTCGCATCAACGGCGAGCGTGTTTAGCGTTGCGATTGGTGGAGATTTTGGTGCGGGCCAATCGTAGCGCCAAACGCGGTCACCGTAACGATCGAGTAGAAGTGAAATAAACTCGCACTTGGCACTGATCTGTGTGTTACCTTCATGTGAGGGCTTACAATTTTACAGTTAACGCTGATATATCTTTCAGAAACACCCCTACATTTTGACGACGTCGAAAGTGGAGGTTGAAACGAAAATTTTCGGTACCACAGCTCACTCGGTAGTGGTGGTCAACAGTGGCGGCCTTAGGGGGTGGCGAACAGGGCAATCGCCCAGGACCTCGCTCCTACAGGGGCCTCGCGCAACAACCCAAGCAAAATTTTAATAAATATTTTTTTTTTTTAACTATTATTTTTTATTTAAAACTTTTGATTTTGATCCATAATTACTTATTAAGGTTATAACATAACCGTAAATTAAAATTAAGTTAGTTAACTAATTCATTCATTCAAAACATAATTGAAAAGTTCATTATGTACACTGAGAGATTTTTTTCGATAACCGTAAGTACAAAAAATGACAAGTCCGCGATTCGAAGTTTATAAGTACAAATGAGTGTAAACAGAAGTAAACTTTGGGTTATTGTAACCATAAGATGTACTTTATTCTATATTTTTCTTAATCTTAGTACAGTTTTTCTTATCACAACCCAAAATTAACTACGATCTACGTACATTTTCACTTGTTAACTTCGAATCGATTGAAGATCGGTTTTTTAATCGCATAACACTCGTGAGTCGGGACATAATGTTCTGCTCTTCTATCGCTCGGTTAATCCCCGTGTTTCATTTCATTTGTTAACTTTTGTCACCTTGAAATTATTTTACTTGAAGTATGAGTTACAAAATTGTTACCGTACATATCTTTCAATTTTATTGAATATTACGTTCTTATAGTATTGAAAGTATTGAGTGAGCTGGAAAAGTGTAAATTATAGTATTTGAAGTATTGAGAAAACTGAAAAAGTGTAAAAAAACTGTGTGAAAAAACTGTGTGGTACTTAAAAAATTATTTCTGACTGTTTGTGCGGATCAAAACAAGATTTACGAAATGAGTTCGCGTGATCGTAAGGCCGGTAGAAAATTTGAGTCAGGGAGTTCAAAAAGGAAACGAGCTATCAAAAGAAAGCAGGTAGTAGAAAATCTGCGTGGATCTTTATATAAATATATAAAAAGTGATGATAAAGAAACCTCTACAAAACATTTATTGACTAAAAGTGACTCTTATCCTGATCCAGCTGAAAACATTCCTTCCACATGATCATGGGTGCCGCCGCCGTCATTAAGTAAAAACAGCGAGGATGATAATGAATTAACTACGAGTACATCATTGTCTCGTAGGTCACCGATGCCACCATTAACGCTATCCAGTCAAGAACACGAATCTGAGCCCGAGTCTATGTCTACATCCATGACTGCTGGAACGGAAAATCTGAATCCTCAAAATGACCCCGGTTTGTGGCCCATAACAATTACTGATGTAGACCGAACTGAGATTGTATTAAAAGGTCCAATCCGGGTTAAAGTTGATTTATTTCCTGTAAATGATAATGGACGGCGATTCAGCGAATATCATAATAAGATATTAGTTAACGGTGAAAAGCTTCACAGGCGCTGGATGATTTATTCACAAACAAAGGATGCCGTTTACTGCTTTCCGTGTCGAATATTCGGGTTAGAAAATACAAAGATTGGATCAAGTGAAGGAGAGTGTGGTTGGAAACACTTGGGTGATTACCTAAAGTCTCACGAACCTAGTCGACAGCACAAAGATTGTATGTTGAAATGGATTAATTTAGAGAATGGTTTAAAAAGCTGTTCCACTATTGACTTCTCGGCCCAGTCACAAATTGAACAAGAAAGGCAACGTTGGAGAGATATTTTAGAACGATTGCTCGCAATTATAAATTTTTTAGCATCTCACAATTTGGCCTTCAGGGGTCATAGAGAGAAGTTAACAACTGACTCAGATTCGAGTGAGACAAGTGGCAACTTTATAGATTTAGTAAAGTTAATAGCCCGATTTGATCCCGTGCTGAGACTTCACCTAAAAAAAGTAAAGGATAAGACGATTAATGACCACTATATCGGAAAAAGTATTCAAAATGAGCTCATACAAATAATGGCAAGTCACGTGAAGACTCAAATTGTTGAAAAAATAGTAAATAATAAATACTACTCGATTATTCTTGATTGTACTCGCGACGTTTCTCGTGTTGAGCAACTTTCAATTATTATAAGATTTTTTAATACAAATACAGCTGAAATTGAAGAACATTTTATTGGTTTCTTAGCCGTCGAAAAAAACCACAGCTGAGAGTTTGACTAATTATATAATCACAGAATTAGAACAGTTAGGTATATCATTGCAAAATTGCAGAGGCCAAGGATATGATAATGGTGCCAATATGCGTGGTGAAAAAAGTGGTGTCCAAAAACGTAATCTTGAAATTAATCCACTTGCTTATTTTTTACCTTGTGGGAGTCATAGCTGGAATCTCATCCTAGGAGATGCAGCATCGTCTTGTGTCCAAGCAAAATCTTTTTTGGTTTGCTACAAAGGTTGTACACTCTGTTGGCCGGCTCAAGTCAGAGGTGGGCTATTTTAAATGCTCATGAAAAATCATTGTTGCTATAACCACTTTCTGAAACTAGATGGGAGTGCAGGGTAGCATCGGTGAAGGCCGTTAAATACCAACTAAGTGATATATGTGATGCTTTAAAGGATTTAGCAGAAAACACAACAGATTGTCAGTTGGTCAGTGAATGCCATTCTATAGAAAAGTAACTAACTACCTACGAATTTGTAGTTTCACTTGTCATATGGTATGACATTCTTACAAAGATAAATGTTATGAGTAAAATATGGCAAAGCGAAAACATGCACTTAGATGTGGCTATACATCACCTAGACGCATTCACAAATTGGCTCGATAATTATCGAGAAAATGGTTTTCAGTCATCCCTTGTAACATCAAGAGAAATAGCCGAGAAAAATGATATTGACAGACAGTTCAAAGAAGTTAAAAGACGACGTAAAACTATGCTGCTATGACGAAGCTCATGAATTGAAAGCGGAAGAAATTTTCAAAATAAACTATTTTTATGTCATTGTCGACAATGTGCGCGCAAGCTGTTATCCTAGGTTTGAGGCTCTTAAACATCATGAGAGCATATTTGGCTTCATGTATAATATAAAAAAATTAAAGGAAATTAATGATAGTGAACTTTTAAAGCAATGCAGCGACTTGCAAATATCTATGACAGTAGGAGAATTATGTGACATTGATGGATATGAATTGTACGAAGAACTGAATATGTTCATCCGTGTGTATGAAGGAAACTATGACATTATCTCGGTGCTAAAATACATAATAGAAAAAAAATTAACTGAAGTTTACCCCACTATCGAAATAGTCCTGAGAATTATTGCTACCACACCTGTTACAGTTGCGTCTCCTGAAAGGAGTTTTTCGAGGCTTAAAATTATTAAAACATATTTGAGGAATTCGATGACACAAGATCGGCTTTCAGACCTCGCTATTCTTTCAATCTAAAATGACGTAGCTTATTCGTTAGATTATTGTGCTTTAATTAAAGATTTATTAGTCTTAGGAAAAGCCGCTAACATCAATTTTAAAATTTAGCATCTCTGTATTTGTTAATTTTGTAAATCTTTCAATGTAAAATATTTTAAAACTCAAATTTATTTGTATAATTTAAGCATTTTTCCTTAAACATGACAAATACCTAAACCAAACAACCAGACCTACTTTCGCATCACATACTTTTAACAAAGGACAAAAGACCTCGCAAAGACCTTCCGCCCGGAGCCTCGCAATGGGTAAGGCCGCCTCTGGTGGTCAACAAACGACTTGTTTAACTTGCTTTTCTGTGAGGTTGAGGTGTGTGGATACAGATTCCACTCCATAAATTAAAATATTAATCGTAGGTTACTAATAAGAGACAGTTATGCGGAGAAGATCACGTTTTATTTTGAAATGAAACATATTTACAACTGTTTGACAATTAAAGAAATGAATATATAATCAATGTATGGAATTAAACGATTTCTCAATAATTATTATGCCCTCTCAACTTTAACAAATGCGGCATCATAACACGATTCTTTATAATCACAATCTTAAATAATTTAAATTACTAAAATTAATTGAATAAACTTAACAACTAGCATCTCTAGATTGATAAAACAATATATATCCCGTCTCTGATGATTTCTGGATATCAGAAGTTAGGCCGTAGAAGTCTTCTATAGCTGATGCGTCAATTTTCTAAAAACAAAACAATACAGTTAATAATTTTGGTTTGAATATAATTATTTTCATTATTGATGTCTCTCCTCCTCCTCCTAATAGGAAAGTTGGATCCTGACAGGACTATCGACGTTCTCACACGCACACTGGCTGTGGACCAGACTGCGAAGCCAGAAGTCGTGTGTTCGATTCCCACTCAGGACAAATTGTGATGTGTTTAGTAAAATACAAGTATGTTTATTTAGAAACTAGCTGGTTCGCGTGGAATTTGAAAAGCGCTGCCTTAGTGGTGTAGTACGGTACGCGACTGTAGTCCATGAGGCCTCGGGCTCGACTCCCGGACTGGACAAATTTTAAATAGTTTTCCTGGCAGTGAAATACTATCAAAATCGGTCCAGCCGTTTTGAAGTTTACCCGGAACAAAGACAGACAAACAAAAAAATATTAAATTGGTTTTTAGGCATAAAAAACCTATTATTTTGACATTACAAACAGACACTTCAGTTTTATTTATTTGTATATGTGTGCCGATTGACGGCGAACGGCGGCGACGGCGACGTATAAGAGTGAGACTAAAATCCTTTAGGGCATAAAAGCCAAGAGTGCACTTTTGCAGGAATCTTGTCTTAAGAGTTTTCTTTTCGTGATTTTGTAGGTTGGTTTTGTTAGGTCAACGGTACTGAGTAGATACAATTTTATAAAATGATTCTTTTATGAATGATTACTCACATCTACCATATCATCGTCGAAGAGTAGCCAGAAGCCGTGGCTCTTCACAATACTGATGTAATGTCCTCTGTTGGGTCCAGAACCGCAGTGTACCACTACGGCCACTAAGTCGTATAGCCTGTCTGGGTTCACTGCATCGTCCGACTGTAACAGAAAATAACCACGTTAATATAAAAAAAATCGGATATCTGACACAACGCCATCTAGTTTCAAACTAAGCAGAGCTTGTACTATAAGATAGATTAATTACATACTTTTTATTGTAAATGCATACCTATACCTACATATACATATAATATATACACAGAAAACATCGAAATCTATCATCAGATCATACAAACATTTAGTCCGACTATCCGGACTACTACGGACTAGTCCGGGAATCGAATCCGAGACCTTAGCACAGGAGTCGCATACGCTACCATTCATGTCGGAACTTTTCGAAAAAAACAAAGAAAAATCCTGTTATAATAATAAAAAAGAAACAAGTTTTCACTTCTGTCGGCACTCCCGGAGTGCATCTGTTTTAAGTAAATTGTAAGATATTAAGTCTTAATTACCGCAGCAAAAAGTTGTGCTTTAGCGAGTGGAGATTATTTTCTGAAAATTAGTATATTTATGATAAATATATCATGAAAAATAATTTGTTCACCCATAGTAAAATTTGTATGAATTGTAGTATTAAAGTTTTCCTTCTTTTTGCAGTGCTGGTGTCCTGCGTTGTTTTGCGCCCTTAGTCGCCTCTTACGACACCCACGGGATGAATTGGGGTAGTGACATTCCGTATTCTTAATCCGTCACTACACGGACGGATAGTAGGCCAAAACCTCCTTTCTAAGGAGAGGCCTAAAATAAAAGGAGCCATATACAAGACACCTGTTTTTTGTATGTTGAATAACTTTCCATTTGCGGGTTCCACTTGCAATTGGCTCCGTTTTTAACGTATTAACATATCTGCATACATATTCACAAAAATCTCAAGTGTGTTTAGGCTTCAAAAACTCAAAACTGCACTGATGAAACTCAAATTTTGACACGATATACAAACCACTAAAAAATCGGTTGTCTGTAAAGTCGCTTTACTGAAGATAGTTGAACGTGACAACGTCATAAGAAAATACTAATGGAATGGTTGCATTTTCCAAAGAAAATTTTAATTTTATTTGTTAGACAGATGTCGAACGCTGCCGAACGCGGAGGCCGATTGTGCCTCTTTGACGCTCGTTCCGCGCTCTCGCTTGCACTTCACGCCTTAAATGGAACGCCTCAGAGCGTGGTAACGCCGCATGAGTCATGTTTTTTCGTGCGTGCAGCCGGCTCCATCGAATTATAAGACGTTGTCACGTCAAAAACTTGATTTTATCTGCCAGAGTGTGCTACAGCAAAGCGTAGTGGGGTACAAGCTAGTAAATGAAAATTATGAAGGTTACTCACCGTATTAAACAACCGCAGTTCTAATGGAAACACAACTCTGTGTGACACTTTAATATGCCTATTGTACTGTTCCATGTACTTAAATCTCTTCAGGTGCAGCGCCAGTATGAGCGGGAGTTTCTTGACACGCATACGCTTTTGCGCTTCCTGATAGCTGCTACAATTGTCACATTTAAATTTGTTATCGTTGCATAAAGTTTCTGTGTCACTAAAGCACTTTAGGCAATGGGTTATGCTTGTGTTCTGACCAACGTCCACCTGGTAGTAAAAAAAACTAAAATGAATGACTCAAATACAATTACCTATAATACAATTTTGCTAGAGAGAGAGAGAGAGAAAGAGAGAGAAGGAGTAAATAAGTTAAATAGATAGTGAATTCTCAACTGCTATTGAATCGACGCCAAAAAGATATTTTAATGGAACTTAAATCTACACTTTGTTGAAAGTTCTTATAACTGAGGAATGACACTGGCCCTGTAGATAATTTATTGGTCCATCAGCTTCAAGCTGTGTTCAGCTCTGAATAAAAATTAACTTAATAACTACAAGGCTGTGCTTCATACAGCGGCACTTAAGACCAAATTTCTTTATCAGACCCGCTCAATAAATTTAGCAGGTGCACCACTGACCTGCAAGTCAAAAAAATGTTCGTCCTTGCTGCTAACAGTCTCGCAGTTAAGACACCTGGTCTCGGAGGTGAGCGTGCCCTGGAAGATCTCGTGCACCCACGTGGGCTCAGCGCTGGGCGCGCTCGTGCCGTTGCACGTAACGTTCTCGCCCTGCGCATTCTTTTGTACTTTCAATGTGCTTTGATTGCGTTCAGCTGAAACAGTTTTTACGCTGTATATGACGTGGAAAAGATCCAAGAATCAATAATTTATTGTATATTGTATTCTATATTGAAAATAATAATAATATATCTCACACACGGCCGTCTGATCCCAAACTAGGCAGAGCCTGTACTATGGTAACCAGACTGCTGATAAACATACTTATATATTTTTAAATTCATACATATTATAGATAAATTACACCCAGACACAGAACAAATGACCGTGCTCATCACACAATATTTGTCTTGGATGGGAATCGAACCCACGACCTCTGGTTTAGCAGTCAGGGTCACTAACCACTTGACCAACAGGCCTGTCGAAAATAAATGATCGGAATGAAAAATTTGACATTGCAATTATATATTTATTGACATTGTTTATTATTTAAATTGTTTATTGATTTGAGCTAAATAGTATATTATTAAATCAATCTATCTATAATATGCATGTAAGTTTAAAATTTCGCATGTCAGAACAGACTGACGAAATATGTGATTCTCTTTTAATAACTATAAACAACCTATGTACCATATTTCTGCAATTAAAGGATCGTTTCATTTCAATATAAATCAGAAATTTAAAAAAATATGCTTCATAAACAGACAAAGCATAAACCCGTATAACCCGTTCCTAAGTATAAGTGAATCCATCCATTTGAATTACCGAGGGTAAAACTGGCGACTGAGCAACAAGTTTCGTGCAACATGTTTACTCTCGCTTTCCTAGAATTAGTGTAAATTGGGTAAAGTGGGGTAAATTATATTTAATATTTATATATTTAATAATATTTAAATATTTTTAGATATTTCTACAAGTCGGATTTTACAGCTAGAAGGAGCCAGCATTTCCTAAAACTCATTCTGGGAAGTAACTCCGAAACAAGTGTCGGCCTGTCGATACAGACGGCATACGGGCCCCTGCCATCGAGTAGGCTAACCGATATAATCAGGAACAACAACCCAAAAACAACAAAAAAAACTTTAAAGCGAGCAAAGGGGAGGTAAAATATAGTAAACCTCATTTCTATTTTATTCTAAATTGATACATTACATTTCTATTTTATTCTAAATTGATACAATAAGGATTTTACTATTTATCATTTTAGAATGTTCATCATTAAAAGAAACCATATGTTTAAATAAAGACAATTAACGTTTAATATGATAAGGCTACAATCATATTAAATTTTATCAACGCTAATATTATAAATAGGTCAGAATTATTTGTTATTTTAATAATTATTTCACTATAAGATAGTTACTTCATTCGGAATGTAATAAGAATATGGAAACAGGCAAAATCTAATATATTATTCTTTCTAAATTTTTTTTTATTCTATTTAATATATTTATGTAATTAGTATTGGACTGCCTCGATAGCGCAGTGGTAGTCTGTTGTTCTGAGGTCTCCGGTTTGATTCCCAGGTCGAACCAAATATTTGTATGTTTTGCAAATATTAGTTTCGGAGTTTGGGTGTTTTCTATGTTTAATATGTATGTATTTACAAAAAATAAAGTATTTAAGTATTCTATCAGTCAATCCAGCTTTTATAGTACAAGCTCTGCTTAGCTTTTTTAATTCCTGCCCTCAGAAATATATCAGTAATATCGGTCCCCCGATAAAAAAATAATAACAAAAGAATTGCTTAAAACCGGTTTTCTATGAGTTGATTATAAACTCGTACACAAATTAATGTCATTATATATTTTATTTTTCTGTTACATTGACTGACAATAATTACTATACTAACATGACAAATGAGAAAGTTTAAGAGATGGTTTGATATCACAATACTTAGATCCATTTCAAAAAGGGCAAACCGTGGTTAAAAGATATCTGCCCATTAGATCATATCTATTTTAATTTTAAAAAGGTATGTTCCATTTATAATACTAAACTTTTATTGGTAATAAAAATAGTCTATTACGGTGGATACCATTATTTTATTTATCTAATAAGATTCAAACTAGACTCAAAAATACTCACCTAGTATAATTTCATTTATATGATTAATCAAAAAATTGAGAAACTCATGGGCATCTTGTTGCATATAATTATCAAATTCCTCTGAAAAAGAAAACAAAAGTTAATCAATACACTACAAAATAAACTGAGGCTAAAACCCCCAGAACCAGAATGCAGTGCCACAGATTACAAAATGTAAGAATTAAATAAATATGATTAAAAGCCTTACCTTTTTCTTTTCTCAACCTAGCAATAAATTTCTTAGGCGCTATAGAACCTACTTTCTTTTTTTGTGTAGCAATGCTATAAAATAAGTCTGCGAGGCATGTCAATAAAGTTTCTTTTGTTCTCTTGTTCTTTGCTTTGTACTCTAAAACTTTTTCTCTAAATGGGCGGCAAAAATACAATGCTTGCAACACAGAGTTGCTATAACATGTGTTGCCAAACTGAAAAAAAAAACAATAACATTTTTGAACTTTCGCATTATATGATATAAATATCTATAAACATAGGTTTTAATATGATCATGTAATAGGAATTACATTTCTTTGAATTGCCTAATGTTTTAAGCAGGTTTTCATGGCTGTGGTTTCAGCCTGTTACTATAGCCACTTAACGCACCAATGTATGTACCATAATTAAACCATAAAATATTTAATGTTGACACACATCTATACAGATACATCTATAAATATGTGCAGATATACATATCTCTAGATACTATAAGATCACTGATAACAATTTATCAGTTTTTTTGTAAATACTTCAGATAGTGCTGAGTAATTAATAAATTTGTATAGAAATACATATTATCCAAATATGTTAATAAAAGGAAGTGATAAACACCAATCATAATATTAAATCTAAAATTCCACATAGAATAAAACATTTTAATCTATTTTATCAAAATGAATATTTACATAAATGATAACAAATCTTCTTACTATTATTACTATGAGAGTTGAGATTAGTGGATGATTGTCAATTACTCTAAAACGCTGAACAGATTCAGATGAAATATAAATAGTTTATAGACTACAACTGAAATACTGATATGTGTGAAACAACTTTCAATGGACCTTACTATGTAACAACTTCAATTTTACTTTGTTAAAGATGTTAAAAAAAAAACTACAACCTTACTTTGTTATATCAATTTCATTTAGATAAAGTATATATCTGACTAGCCTCTTATCCACTAAACACTTTATAGTCTATACTATAAGCTTTCTTTTCACAATGACAATTAATTAAGTAACCAAGATTAGACAGCATATAATTGTGTAATGATAATTACAACAATTATAACATGCTTCCTGCTTTGACAATACAGATAAGATTTTATTTACTTATTGTGTGACAACAAAATATTCATCGCGTAAATAGTTTTAGGTTGTATTTACTAGTTTTGTGAATTACTATTTTATTAGAGATTAAACTAATATGAGTTGTTTAGGCTCAATGGAATTCATGTTGGTTAGAAAACAACTTACATTAACTAAACCAAAATAATGTTCATTAGGTGGGAACTGCTCTGACCCGATATCTCTTTCTAGTTGTGATATATTTGCGCCCTGAAATAAATACAAATATGATAAATTTTCAAATGAAATGCCGACATAGATCGGTTAGAGGGGTGTCAGATTAAGTTAAATATTAGGGTAGTTGTAGTACATATCATCCAAATATATGTTTAAATTTTATCTCAATATTTTTTTTGGAATGAGAAGATTAATTAACATATAATTAAACATGCATTTCTCTCACCATTCTATGTTGGAAATTAAGGCCGAGATCCTGACATATTGACATTTGCAATTCTGTTTTAGCAACTTTAGACTGAATATGCGGTTGTCACAGTTAAATAAAGTGGATTTATAAATGAGCAGTACTTGTTTCTAGAAACATAATTGGAATTTCTTTTGGAAATTGGCAAAATAAGCACAACAGTTATATACCTACGATTATGACATAACCACAGATAAAAAATATTGTTAAATCAAAGAGCAATTTGATAGATATAAATAACCAAATGCCACAAACTCAGTTTTCACGAAATCACTCTCACAGGTTGCAGGAAACTAAAAGGAAAAATTACATCGAAAAGCTTTTCAACAACACATAATACATAATTTGTTTTCTTTTTTTGAAAATAAATAAACCCATCACAATATGGGACTTGGTAGATGGTAGTAATAAGGTTCCATTGACATTTTTGTGAATCTCATCCGATCTATTTCTAGTAGAGTTGTGTAGCTCCTGAGTGAGTGATATAAAAGATATATATCATTCACGACGACAAAGTGTATCACTCACTCACACTTGCTCCGAATATATCAGTAACTCAGTACTAGCTCACTAAATCTAGTGATCTCAACGACGCCGACCTTTGTTTCATGAGCGAGTGAGACTAAAGATAAATGAATGAGATAGATGACGGTTGAGTTCACGCAAGTTTCTTTATGCAAAATGTAAATTATTTCTGTAGGATCAAATTTTAATATTACTTTAGAATTAAGCCTGCCAAGTACAAGGAAAATAAAATTATATATGATTTCTATTATACAACCTAAAAAAAGTACAAGAAATAATTTCTTATTTTTAATTATTATATAAAAGGGTGTTAATAATTTTGTAATCTTATCAAAATGAATAAAATTGTATTTAAAAAAAATAGGTTAAAAATGTGGTTTCAAAAACTGAATTTAGGTTAATATGAAAATAAAGAAAGGTTTGTATGGCGAGAGAGGCTTGAAGTGAGTGATATACGAGTATACTGAGCTAATCGAATCAATTGAATCGGATCAATGAGCTAGTGACCTAAACAAGTTAAGGGCTTATTACACTATGCGGTATTCAGACAGTCTAAAGCAGCGTCCACACTATGCCGGGCGAGGCCGAGCGGGCTGACCCGGGCGGCCTAAGCCGGGTTGGTGTGGACGCTCCGGGCGGCTTAAAAAGCCGGCCCGAGCCGAGCCGATCCCAACCCGCAGAAAGTAGGTACAGATCAAAGGATGCCGGCCCGAGCCGAACGAAAATATGTAGTGGGGACGTGCCGAGCGGCACCGGGCGGCTTTAGTTGTCCAGTCTTGGTGTCGAATTGAAACTAATAGGTAGATATAACCCGGGCGGCCTCGTTTTCGGTGTGGACGTCGTGCCGGCCCGAACGAACCCGCCCGGCTTAGGCCGCCCGGGTCAGCCCGCCCGGCCTCGCCCGGCATACTCCGGCATAGTGTGGACGCTGCTTTAGTACGACTGTCTTAAAATCTAATTAGGCAAGCTCGCTATTACACTGGGCTGAATACCGCTATCTGCTATCTCATTTGCAAAGCGTACGTAGTCGGTGACGGTTGTAGCGCAATGGAAAAACTTTCAAAGCACCAGAAAATCACCATAGCTCTTGCTGCGTCTATTAATTTCAATACAAAAAAGAAAAGAAAAATATGGGTGAAAGAGTATTTACTTTTGCGAGAAAAATTATCAAATATGCAAATACTGAGTGTTTTGGAACCATGTGACTTAAGAAACTACCTTAGAGTAGGAGTTGCCGAGTTTAGGGCGACTTTTGCCCAATTTGGGCGGGGCCAGTGTTCCCACGAGGCGGCTGTACGCGGGGGTTGTCCGGTCCATGGCGCTGTATGGTGCACCGGTGTGGGTGGCGGCTCTGACCGCCCCGAATAGGACGCGCCTCTGGCGCCCCCAGAGGATACTGGCGGTCAGAGCCATACGCGGATACCGCACGGTGTCCACCGAGGCGCCTTGCGCCTTGGCCGGAACACCCCCGTGGGATTTGGAAGCGGAAGTGCTCGCCGAAGTCTATCGGCGAGTGGCTGACTTCCGGGCGAAGAGCGGATTTCGCCCTCCGCCCGAAGACGTGCGCGAGTGGCGCAAAGCCGCTCGCCGAGCCACCATGGTCAGATGGTCGTTCCAGCTGGAGACTCCACGCGCTGGCTTCGCCACCGTGGAGGCTCTCCAGCCGGTCATCGCCGAGTGGGCAGGGCGGCAGCACCTGACCCTTTCCTTCCGGCTGACGCAGGTGCTTTCCGGGCACGGTTGCTTCGGAAAGTACCTGCACTCGGTCGCTAGGAGGGAATTGAGTCCCGCCTGCCACCACTGCGACTGCAGTGGCAGTGACGCTTTTTTATTGTTTTGACTGTAGCCTTTTCATCGAAGGTTTTATAAATTTCCAACAACACCCGGAATCCTTCAGTACGAAGTGGTTGATTGGAATAATCTTTATGACTTTTCAGCCATAAATATGGCATGTCTCGGTACAAATCAAGAACATTGAAAAGTACTTCTTTTTCTTTCGAACACGCCATGGTGCACGCGGCCACAGCAAACAAACGTATACTACCGTCTTTGCTCTGCGGCTGCCGCGCGCTGACTGAACGGTCTAAACGTGCTAAGTCTTATTACACTACGCGGTATTCAGCAAGCAAGCGAGTAAGCACGGCCGAACCCATTCGGTCAGTCTAATTAGACAGACTAACTTGCTAGCTCTTATTACATTAAGCTAAATCTTAGTAAGACTGTCTGAATACCGCATAGTGTAATAAGCCCTTTAGTGAGCTAAACGAGTTAGTGAGCTAAACGAGTTAGTGAGCTAAACGAGTTAGTGAGCTAAACGAGTTAGTGAGCTAAACGAGTTAGTGAGCTAAACGAGTTAGTGAGCTAAACGAGTTAGTCAGCTAAACGAGTTAGTGAGCTAAACGAGTTAGTGAGCTAAACGAGTTAGTGAGCTAAATGAGCTAGAGAGCTAAATGAGCTAGAGAGCTAGATGAGTGATATATATCTTTTGAGCAAAATGATATGTATCAATCTCAATTTCAGCTCAGTGACACATTTTGCGCATAACTAATTTCTACTGCATTAATTGCTATTTTATGTTTGTTTAGATTAATGTAATATGATACTAAAGAAAGAAGCTTCACTTGATTTCACTGTTGTTAGTTGACATTTTATGTATATTTTGTACGTTCTGAAATCATACTATGAATTTTAAAATATATTAACAGTCTTCAGTACTTCTGATGTACTAAATTATTAGTCCACAGATTTGACCTGAATTCTGAAAAAAAATCATGTGATGATAATGAAACTAACGACTTTATAAACTAATTACTTCTAAATATTCGATATCCCGTTATCTCTCGCCGGTCGCACGATCTTTGCCTATCCGCTTCAAAACACTTCAAATACCCCGCTCAACGTCGCGTCGCGCCGTCAGCACCGTCCGCACGTTAGTACAGTACAGCGAAGCGAATATTGTAGTGCAGCAGTAAACCAGTGCCGATAATAAACTTCATCCCGATTATTTTGACTATCGGGAACGAGGAAGCGTACCTACGTGGCGTGGATGTGTTGACGTGGCGGATTCCAACGCGGTATATGCTTGATTGTTTTAAATTGAGAAGTTGTAGTAGCGATAAATTGTTCTGAAATAATTGACTTTTTGTCGAGAACACCGGCTTTACTTGTTTTATTTATTGCAGAACATAATGTTGAGATCGTTGTTTGTGGCTTTGGCCGTATCGGCCGTATTTGCTGGGGTGCCGACACCTGAAGAGACAAAACGGCTTATGGATAAACTATCTGAGGCAGAGCATTTCAAGAACGAACACCATAATAAGCAGTTTGATCACGACGCGTTTTTAGGTGAAGATCAAGCGAAGACTTTTGACCAGTTGGCTCCTGAAGAGAGCAAAAGAAGGCTGGGGTAAGTGTTAAACTGATTTAGTTATTTTATTATGTGACTTAAATTGGAAGAACAGATTTTTTCACATTTAACTTTTTAAACCTCACAGTGAATTTGCGTTAGAATTGTAAAATTATTTCTTACAAAGTACCTGCTCTTTAAAAAATGATACAATATTAAAGCTGTTGTGAAGTTTAGCTGCATTGTAAATATAACTAATCAATAAATTCTGGAACATTTAATTTTCCCCAAAATGCATATTGTAGAATATATAAAGGGGTTTAATATTTTTAAATACTAATATACTACACAAAGACTATGGTATTCACCATAAATATTGACCTAGGACTGATTTTTTTTATTAAAATACTTTTTATTCATTGTTTGCGTATTGACTCAACAATTAATTTTGTGACAAATAATAAGTAAAATGTACCAACTATGCAGTTAGGGTAATATACCTAATTTAAAATTTAATTCATATCTGTTATAAGTAAAAAGTAATTAAAATATGTCATATTAAGGTTAAAAGATTGCTATAGTTTTAAAAAAAGTCATGAGGACCATGACATGAGGACATGTCTCATGCAAAAGCATGATCATGATCTTCTTATAAGCCACGAGATTAACTACAATGCTAAATCATCTTCAGTTCTCTGTCTCAACTCATCCGTGTCAATGATCTCGCCCACTTACACAATGTGGGTTAGTTAAACTAACAGATAACACCCACAGTTTGTTAGTTGTTAGCTATCATCTCAAAGAGGATTTATTAATTTAAAGACTAAAAAAATGCAGTATATATAAAACAACTTTAGATTAAATAGAAATATTGTTTTAATGATGCTCTAACAAAGGAAATTTAATGAAAAACAAGATTAAATGTCTAATTTTCATTAAATTTTAGCCCATCTAATCTAAGAGGTACCGTTTGATGTTACATACTTTTCAAGACGAAACAGTTTTGTCTAGGTGTAAGTCAAACAATCTCCATAACCTTTTCTGTAAAACCATGGAATTATGAAACAATTTTTATTTTATTGCAAGATATGCAATTCTTAATGATTAAATTGAAATTGAAATCTTTGAAACAAAGCAATATAACTAAATTATACACCATTCTTTTTTTTTCAGACTTTGTTTCAAATTCACGTAGTTATGTCCTGTACCATGCCATGCAAATGATTTGCATTTTTTTTTACAACAGTGCTAAAATAAAAATAAAATATTACATTACTATTTTAATCGGAAAACTATTGACCAATGCTTTTTATAGGCTTTGACTTTTGTTTTATCTTTATTGCAATTCGATTTCATTCATCTCTTGCAAATTAAATTGAACATAATTTTGCTTTTGACTGCAGTCTTTTCACATCAACATCACATATAGGTATACAACACGCATAATACAACAAACACATACAACATACAAAACAACAAACATACAATACAATAAGTATCTTCAATACATAGAAAAAATACATTAGACAAACCACTTGACGTAATGTCTATGATATAACGTCTGTTCGTTTTACCGATCACAGGCTGTTAAAAGTACGAAAATAAAATATTCGTAAAAACAGCCATGTGTGGTTTTAGTATTTTATCTTTAAAATAATGCTTTTTTCAATGTAGTCCTAGGGGCGTCACATTGTCATGATATCATTGATAAATTCTAAATATATTACACATGTTATGTCATGATATTGTGCTCATATCTTATTTCTGTACTATATTCTACAAAAGATATTTTAACCTTTTCTTCAATAACTTTATACATTTCATTATGAAAAGTAATTTCATTTGAATATTTTATTTGTATGTTAATCTTAAAAGATAGCCATAGGGTACACAGTAATGAAAAATATCCACTGTAAAACCATACATTTTCCTCAAAAGCGATACAAAGGCGTGTTCTGAAAGTTGTGAAGATATTTTTTTTTTACATCTTCATTTCTTTAAATACTAGACTGCTGATATATGTATGTATGTAACAGCAGTCTAGTTACCATAGTACAGGCTCTGCCTAGTTTGGGATCAGACTGTCGTGTGTGGGATATGTGGATTTATTGTTTTTAGCATTATTATTAATTATATACTTAAACCTTCCTCATGATCACTCTATCTATTGGTCAAAACTGTATGAAAATTGGTTAGGTACTTTTGGAGTTAGATAGCTTAGATAACTTTTTATAATAAACAGTAAGATGCATCAGAACAGTTTATAATACAAAGTGGATTCTCTATAGATTTAATCTTTTTAGTGTATGTATTATAATATAAAAAATAATAATGTTACAAAATAAAACAGACAAGAAAACAAAACAAAAAAAAGGGGCCCAACCATTATTGAGTTATTAGTCACTAAACTAAGTCACACTATTAATAACTGCTGAACTGATTTTTAAAAATGTTCAATTTTATAATTGTTCTGCCCTGAATAGCCCTGAATAGAATAATTAAAAATATTTAAAAAATAAAAGAAATATCATGAAGAAAATTATTCTTTTCATACATCTATACTAATATTATAAAGAGGTAAAGTTTGTGAGTTTGTATGTTCTTTCACTGTTAAAAAGGTATGTTATCCCTGAGTGCTGAAGACTACTTCATATACTGACATATACACAGGCGGGTTCAGGCATAAAACCTAACACAGATAAAGAGCAAAGATGTAACTATAAACACAAATGAAACTGCACGAAACTAAAAGTAATAAATTTAATAAAAAAGTGATTGTTATACTTGGATTGATAGTCAACTTGATATGCTCTGTTCATATTAATAAATGTTTCATGAAATGTAAACTATCAAAGTTCAGTGACCCTTTTATCTCGACCGTAACCGTAATGAATAATTTGATAAAAATGTTCTAGAAAAATCGTCGAGAAGATCGATGTAGACAAGGATGGCTTCGTATCGCTTGTGGAGCTGAAAGACTGGATCAGATACACTCAGAAACGGTACATCACTGAAGATGTTGATAGGCATTGGAAACAGCATAATCCTAATAATGATGAAGACATTCCTTGGGAGGTGAGTCATCGGTTTTATATGTTAAAAATCAGTTCTGTATATTCTATAAAAATAGAAAAGACTAGCTGACCCCGTAAACGTTGTTTTGCAATATACATTATGTCGGTTTACCATAGCTCTATTGATTACTTACTCAATCCGAAAAGTATCGACATCTGTTAGAATCTTTTGGAGTTAACAGATAATTGTGACTGTCAATTAATTATAGACCAATAATTTGCAATAAAATAAAATTGCGACTATAATTAAAGATCTAAGCTATCCTATCTCTTAAGTTGGACCAGACTGTTCACGGTGTGCCAATTTAATTTAAAATCGCTTAAGTAGTTTAGGAGTCCATCGCGGACAAACATCGTGACAGGAGATTTATATATATTAAGATATATTTCCTTGACCTCATGGTCATAATCTTACATATACCTGATCTTTTTCGACAAACATTTAACTTAAGTATAAAGAAAAAGGGAGCTTTGAAATCTCATGATGACCAAAATCGTTTTTATATTAAGTTTACATGCTTGCCGAAGCTTGGCAAATGTCCACGAGCTCCAAGCCTTTATAAACGCTTGCATGCAATTTACACTATTGTGAGTGTGTTCCCGATAGTCAAACATAATAGACGTGGACGTTGGAGTTGTGGCGGTTATTGCGTTTGGCTTGAAATATTTTTATTTGAAATATAAGCAGCGACATTAAACACGCGATAAATAAAAAAAATCTCTAGCCCTATAACTGCTCAACCAGTAGAGCATTGGGACTTAACATTGAATCCCGACTGCTCAACTATTATCAAGTTGAGCAGGCCAATGGCAGTGGAGTAAAAGCACGCGCGAACGTGTAAATACGTCGCAAGCGCTTGCCGCAAGCTTCTTCTTTGGGCTTAGTGTAAGTTTATTTACTTCTACTCGATCGTCACGGCGACCGCGTTTGGCGCCATTATTCGTGTAGAGTTCAGCGCGGGCCAATCGCCACTTTGAACGCGCTCACCGCGACGATCGAATAAATGTAAAAGAAACTCACACTAGTACCTCTGATATGCGTTCGAAAATCGATACTAGCCCGACGACAAGCTCAGTAAGCCAAGCTAAACACCCCGTTCACACGCTTGTGTTTGTGGACACTTACCGAGACTTGCCGAGCTTGTAAACGTACCAAAACATAAATTATGGATGGGGGCGGGTCTCTAAGTTATTTGTAGGTCTCAAGGTCATTTGCTCGTGTCTTACATATTGAGTAGCCATCAAGTCTTTATGGTAATGACATACTCAGTTTAATCTATATCATTGACGAGCTAAATATCATTATTTCAGTCAGTGTTCAGTCCGTTTCAAATACTGACCTAGTTGACTGATATACTGTGTGCATTTTATTTGTTTGTATGGATGAGATATATAGCCAAGACCATGCAAGTTCATTTAGACATTTGTGACAAAAAATTTGTTTTGCAATATTTCTTTATGACTAGGGTTGATACTTTTGTAATAAGGAAATATAGCTTTTCTTCCTCAAACTTTTAAAAATAAATAAATGTATTTATAAATACAGGTAAAATTGTACTTACATATTTCTTTATTATTAAGATTTGGTTAGAAAAAAAAAGCAAAATAAGGCTGATATGTAGTACGATAGTATAATTATATTACTATATTATACTAAAGGTGGCAACTATTTATATTACCCAGATGAAATGAGGTGTAATATGCTTAGTACAGCTTTATATCATATTCTTGAATAAAATGGTCATGTGTCTCTACAGACATACAGGAAGAACGTGTATGGGTTTATGGATGAAATGGACCCCAAGGAACTCAAAATGCCAAACAGCGAGGGCTTCACTTACACCAACCTGCTGAAGCGTGACCGGCGGAGGTGGAATTATGCCGGTAAGAACACAAATCTATCAGCATGCATCCATTCTTTAATTAACTATCATAAACATATCATAAAATTTAGAATTATTATCTATACTAATACTAGCTGACCCGGCAAACGTTGCTTTGCCTAAAAAAAATTTAGGGATGGGTCACCCTTACCATTACGGTATGAAAAATAGATGTTGGCCGATTCTCAGACCTACCCGATGTGCACACAAAATTTCATGAGAATCGGTCAAGCCGTTTCGGAGGAGTACGGGAACGAACATTGTGACACGAGAATTTTATATATAAGATCATAAAGTTTGTGAGTTTATATGTCCGGGGTAATCTTAGGAACTACTGGTCCGATTTGAAAAATTCTTATAGTGTTGTATACCCCTTTTATCAAGGAAGGATATAGGCTATATAACATCATGCTACGAGCAAGTGAATTTATTCATTTTGAGAGAAGTAGCCAAAATTCAGCTAGTATTCGATATATTTCATATATAAGGTACTATTGACATGTTTTTAACAAGTACATAGCCTTTAAATTAATTTATTAGACTTGAAGCAGTCTTTAGTTTTGATTGATAAAGCAATGTGGAATACAACCCGTGAAATCTGGACTAATCTAATTGGGGTACTTCTCTTACACTACAGATACATACAACACATTAAGTTACGTGGAACTGTGTTAAGTCTCGACCCATTAAATTCGATTTTGACTCTATAGGGGACAACTCGTCCTCTGGTACTACACTTCGCATTCACTGTCATGACAGATGAACCCGAGCATAGTATATAGTTTTATAAACAGCAATAGACAGTTTCACTTCTTTAACGGTTTGAACAAAATATATGTGCCATTACAGATGCTGATCAAAACGATGCGTTGAACAGAACCGAGTTCGCTGCGTTCCTACACCCTGAGGATCACTCGTCCATGAGGAATGTAGTTGTGCTTGAGACTATGGAGGACATTGACAAAGATCAGGTGAGCAAACGAGTTGTAATTGCTTAATTTGTAGACTTCATCATCAGCCTATTGCCGTCCACTGCTGAACGAAGGCCTTGTCATGTAGACAAAGAAATTAGTAACAAAGAAAAAAAACTTTGCTTTCAATTAAATATATAAATAAAAGGTTATCAGTGCAAGGTCATCATCAGCCTATCGCCTTCCACTGCTGAACGAAGGCCTTTTCATGTAGACAAATAAATTAGTTACAAAGAAAAAAACTTTGCTTTCAAATAAATATATAAATAAAAGGTTATCAGTGCAAGGTCATCATCAGCCTATCGCCATCCACTGCTGAACGAAGGCCTTGTCATGTAGACAAAGAAAAAAAACTTTGCTTTCAAATAAATATATATATAAAAGGTTATCAGTGCAAGGTCATCATCAGCCTATCGCCTTCCACTGCTGACCGAAGGCCTTGTCATGTAGACAAAGAAATTAGTGACAAAGAAAAAAAACTTTATTATTATTTACTTATTACTTTATTACTTGTTAAGAATACAAATTGTCACCACCCCAATTCATCCCGTGGGTGTCGTAAGAGCCGACTAAGTAAGCAAACTAAGCAGGACAACAGCACTGCAAAGAGAAGGAAAACTTGAAACAAACCCTATACCAACCCGTCTGGCCAGCGTGGTATAGTAGGCCAAAACCTCCTTTCTAAGGAGAGGCCTATGTCCAGCAGTGGACTAGTATAGGCTGTTGATGTGATGATGTACTTTATTACTTATATATATAAAGGTTATCAGTGCATGAAAATGATTACGTTCAGTGAATAGTAGGGTAGTCAAACATTCGATTGATATTACAGGATGGCAAGGTGTCAGTAGAAGAGTACATTGGGGATATGTACAAGCCTGAGGACGGAGAGGATGAGGAGGAACCTGATTGGGTGAAACAGGAGAGGGAACAGTTTGCTGGATACAGGTTAGTTGTTATTAATCAATGTATTTTGCCTACAATGTTACAAATCGCCAACAACTGCTTTGATTTTTTGTCCGTTTATTAATGGTTGCATTTATGGAGACATCTACATCACAAAACAGGAAACTTATAAAAAAGTTTTAATTTTTATTTTCTTTTATTTTACTGTAAAAAAAATTAGATTTGTAAGATTTATGTTACGCCTTTAATATTTTAACTCCTTAAAAGCTTGTTATAAAGTGGCTCTTGATTTTATTCTTAGATCGATATTTGTTTAACGATGTAACTCAATGATGTCATTCTATTGCTTGTATCAGTACTAATTGTCAATATAAATATATTATTATCGTCAAGGTGAACTAGAACTGCATATTGGACTATGAACTAAAGACTCCATTACAATGACTGCCTCGTTGGTGCGGTAGGTAGCGTATGCGACTGCTGTGCTAAGGTCTCGGGTTCGATCCCCGGTTCGGACCAAATGTTTGTATGATCTGCAAATATTTGTTTGGGAGTTTGGGTGTTTTTATATATAATATGTATGAATTAAGTATTCTATCAGTCAATCTAGCTTTCATAGTACCTAGCTTGTTTAGTTTGCAACTAGATGGCGTTGTGTGTTAGACGTCCGTAATATTAAAAAAAAATGCAATTTGTCTGAAAAAAATATAACACAAAAACACAAACTGAGAAATATTTTCTAACATTGCAAATAAACTTCGGAATATATAAATTGCATGGTGCTCTAAATATTGTGTTGATCAAATTTTGTAACAATTATTATTTTCATCATCATCAACAGCCTTTACTGGACATAAGTCTCTCCTTAGAAAGGACGTTTTGGCCTACTATAGCACGCTGGCCAGATGTGTTGGTATAGGGGTTGTTTCAAGTTTTACCTCTCTTTGCAGTGCTGTTGTCCTGCACAGTTTGATCCCTTAGTCGGTTTTTAACCACACTCACAGGATACTGTACTTTCTATAATTGTCTAATGAATAAAAAAATAATTTACAGAGACACAAACAAGGACGGTTTCATGGACGAGATAGAGGTGAAAGACTGGATCGCTCCGCCAGAGTTCGACCACGCGGAGGCGGAGGCGCGCCACCTCGTGTTCGAGGCGGACACGGACGCCGACGAGAAGCTCACCAAAACTGAAATACTCGACAAATACGATCTCTTTGTCGGTTCCCAGGCCACGGACTTTGGTGAGGCCCTCGCTCGACATGACGAATTCTAGATATGTTCTACAATATTGCTCGATAATGTTGTTTATTGGTGAGATGAGAGAAGACCACCATTTTTTTAGGACAGTTCAAAGTACTAGTTTAACATGGCCTAGTAAAAAATTTACCTTCTTGACATAGTAAGAATATATTGATGTGATAAGTTTTGCTACCGAACCTGGAGCCAGCTTGAAAACATATATTTTAGTTTGGATAAATATGTAATGCAGAGCAGTTGATATTGTTGTTTGCGTAAAGAATAAGAATAGCGAATAAGTCCTTTTTTTGTTGCATTTAAACCATATTGAAGATTATAAAAAAAAAAGTTTTATATATTATTTTTTGTACAATTCTTGTATCACACCAAGTGTTGCAAGAAAATACGCAGCAGCTAGAGTATTAAGCAGTCAATAAACAATATTATTGGGTAATAAAAATTAAGGTTAGCAATAAAATAAATATGTGATACATTTATTTCGAGGCTGGTAACACTTGCAGCATATTAATATACCATTTAATTTTTCAAAGCATTATTCATTATTTTTAGCTGTTAACATGGCAGTTAATTACCTTTTTATAGATAAAACTATTCTTTTTATATAAAAACTTTTCTTTAGCCGTTAAGTAGAATCTCGTAGAATTTCAATAACTATTTTTAACATAGTATTAAGTTTCTAGTTTCTAACAATCAGACCAAAGTTATTATTTACATTATAATATTGTCGAAGGGATTATCTAGAATCAAATTTCTTGACATTGTTTATCTGAGATTGTTATTTAAAAACTGATTTTTCAATTGCTACCTAACTAACATACTGGACAAATTCATAAATCATATGATTTATCACAGGTCATTGTGATTTTATTCCATTCCTACTGTCTATATATAAAAGTCGACCGCATATATCATCATCATCAGCCTATCGCAGTCCACTGCTGGACATAGGCCTCTCCCATTGCACGCCACTTAGATCGATTTTGGGCTTTTCGCATCCAGCGAGATATACCATACGCATATATACCATAAATAAAATGTCAGCCGAAATTGGACAGATGAGTTATAGAAAAATATTCCTTAAGTCTGATGTTAAAATATATATATATAAATTGCAAATTGATATCACTTAGTAGTCAAGAATTCCTAAATCGGAGAATGGGACTGTTCCTAATATTCGTTCACTTCATATGAACTGAAGAAAGTATTTTAAAGTTAGGTAACGAATGAAGAATCAGCTTTGTATCTATTTGCATTTATTGTTTGTAACGATATCGACGCACTCTCCAGTGTTGCCATAAATGTGTAGCTGACGGCGTCGTATCTGATAAAAAACTTAGATTATGGGGGGGTCTGTTGAGTTATTTAAGAGAGTAAGAGAAGAGTGAAGTTCTATTCTATTACCGAATCTACTCGGAAATTAAGTAAATTTGGTATTCCTATCTCAAACAATTGGTACTTACTGAAACCACGTTTAATATTTGTTAAAACAACATTTTACTGTTGGCAACACTAAATAAGTACAATAAACTAATAATATTACAATAATATCGCTTTTCTATTAAAATAAAATAATTTTTCAAATTTAATTTGTGTATTTTTTACCCTAAACACAAAAGTTATGACTTAAGTTATAGCTTTTACTGTACAATAAAGATAAAAAATGTGCAAGTGAAATACAGTTCTATACCGTCTACAGTAAGTATAAATTCATTTCGTCTTATCTGTAGCTAGATGACCCGTGCAAGTTCAATTGCGTGTCTCAAAAGGATATACATTTTTATCCGTTTTTGCCATATTTTTCATTGATGCACGGCTCCTTTCGGTCGTAGCGTGATGTTATATAGTCAAAAATATTTCAATTCAAACCAGTCGTTCCCGATATTAGCATGTTCAAACATACAAGCAAACAAACAAACCCTTTAGCTTGATAATATTAGTATAGATTTTAGTATCCGAGACTAAAAAAAATCGTCTAGGGTTTTCTTCGGTGAGATAAGAAGGGGAATTTTCGGGGAAGGGGAAGAGAAGGGGAAAATTGTGTATTTTATCTTGACACTTATCTCCAGACAAAATCTATACAAATCATACATAATAAAGTTAGATTTATTAGGTTGGTTTTTAGTTTCAAATTATAAATAAAGAGACATAGATAAGAAAAAACCAGTCTACTTCTCATAAAAGTTAAAGATTATTAATTGTTATTGTTATTAATTTGAACAAAATAGGCATTAAGACACAAGACAGCGATCACCAATCAGAAAGTGTCACGTCACGCCACGCAAAACATCATTGTTGTTGTTGACGTTTTCATACAACAGAGCAGGTTATTCCTTATTGTTTTTCGTTTTTAGCTCATTTTCTCACCTTAATACAGTTTCAGTTGACACTGGACACAGATGTAAACAGTTTTGTTTCGCAGACTGTGATGTCATTCAAGACGCCATGACACTATTCAGCGTTTTCAAGGGAAATTTAAATTGTTTTTCTTAAATACAAAATACGTAATGTAAATATTGCTTTTTCCTTAAAATATAGGTTTTTTGGGATAAAATAGATATTAAAGTATATGAGTTTTCAAATTGAGTCAACTAGCCTATTGTAAATGTTAAATATAAAATTACCTTTGACAGCAAGAAGAACGGAACGGATTAAGAATACGTGGTATCACCACTGTGGGTGTCGTAAGAGTCGACTAAGGGAGCAAACTATGCAGGACAACAGCACTGCAAAGAGAAGGAAAACTTGAAATATACCAATCTGTCTTGCCAGAGTGGTATAAAAGGCCAAATCCCCTTTCTAAGGAGAGGTCTATGTCCAGCAGTGGACTACATATACAAGGCTGTTGATGATGATTGTTATGTAAAAATTAAAATCTCTAGATATATCTTGAGATGTGCGTCCATATAATTTTGTGCAGTAGAGTCCAACCATTAAAGAAGAGTGAGCAGTAGGTGACCTGAGCCTGGTCTGAGGTGAACCTGCCTGAGTAACAGTGGTACACACTGTAAACAAAATACCTGGCCAGTAGTATGAAATTGAAACTATTAACGTGAAACAATAATAATATTTGCAAAACTAAGAATCAAGTTATTTACAATTTACACAAATGTTAACGTATAATAATATACTTGCGGGAATAACACACATGTGAACCTATGGTATTTCGTGTGCCGATGGCAGATGGCAGTAATGGCAGAAAATTTCTGCACAAAATATTTAAAAATAAATGTAATTTTGTTGTTGACTTAACTATCTGACATAGATAAAGTATTTTATATGATAGAATTTTATTTATATTATATACGAGTTATTATTACACGATATGTAAGTTAGATTTATCTTAAATTAATAAATTTAATATAAAAAAGTCAAATTCTCTGTTTTCTCTTGCACCTACAGCATCATTTTTCTACATCACCCGAAGATCGACTGGCAGAGAATGTCTTGGGCATTAATTCCGCCTTTTTTTTTTTTTTCGTGCGGAAATCCCCTCGGATACCACCTGTCGGTGGCATGTCGGACTCGAACCGACTAAAACCGCACGCCGTCTCGGGTACTAATAGCCAGTTAACCAGGTATACCCTAGAAAGGAAGTCCCTGGTGCCCCGACATACCTCGGGCCATCTACAGACGAGTAGACGACCCCCCCGGGTGGGAACCCCATGTTCCCTCTGCTCCCCGGAAGCGAGCGCGCTTCGCAACGCACTCGCCGCCACCCCGGCCTGCTTCTGCTAGGGTGACAGATGGCCTCACCTGTCACCCCCAGGCCTGCGCTTATGGAGGACGGAGGTCATTCTGCGCCTGAGTCGCCTGCGGTACCTGGCCCGTTCCCGGGCCTGGCGGGCCGGGAGAGTTCTAAACCTCTCCCGGTCCCGCTCCGCCGTCTCCTTCGCGAGCATAACTTGCTCGCAGAAGGAGACGGCAGAGTTCCATGCACTCTCGCTCCGCACGATAGCCGCAATCAGGCTATCGAGCGAGAGAACTCCCACTCCGATGGCCGCCACGAGTTCTCGCCTCTGCTCAACCCACGCCGGGCACTCTGCCAGCGTGTGGAGAGCCGTGTCCACGGTCTGGCCATCGCAGTGGCGGCACTCAGGCGTTGGCTCCTTGCGGATCAGACACAAGTGATCCCCGAAACATCCTTTCCCAGTGATCACCTGCGTCAGTCGGTATGAGAGGGTCCCGTGACGCCTCTCGAGCCAATCCTCCATAACGGGTCTTACCGCCGCGATGACGGCGTGCCCGGCGCTCGGTTGCCCGAGTCGTTCCTTCCACTCCCCTATGATGACCTGGCGGAGTTGGGATTTCCGGTCATCGATTTCTCGAGTCTCGGGACACCGACCCAACTTCCGCGCCTCCTTGCCCCACTTATACAGAGCCGCAAGGGCTCTCGCCTCCAGGTCCCACGGTGGAGTTCCGGCCAGGAGACTCGCCGCCTCAAAGGAGAGCATTAATTCCGCCTGTGTACAACTTGTGCATTAAGTTAAATAAAAAAAAAAAAAAAAAAAAGGGGAGAAGAACGCAACACTTTAATCGGTTTTTTTATCCAATTTAGATCGCTTCGGTTGTGAACTTAGTTTTTAACAAATAAGCGTACGTTTGTTTCGTATCAAGCATAAAACTATTCAAATGTCCTATTTGTGGTGGCAAGTTTGAGATCTTAAGCAGAATTATTTACATAGAAAGACGAAGCGCTTTACACCGAATGGACAAGACGACTAAAAATGGCATATAGAAATAAAGTACTTAATTAAACTTATATTAAACGCGACTTGCTTGACACGCGTAGAGAAACAGTATATCTTTCAATCTTCAATATGAAAAAGGGTAGAACAATTTATAGTATTTTTTTTATACAAAACTTAAAGTTATGAACGAAAAAAATGATACCTAATTTAAGTTAATTTAACCTAATTTAAACGGCGTGAGGGGTCTATAGACGCCCGGTCGGAACGAAGTTCCTTTTGCTTTTGGTACTGCTTTATCGTAGTGTCGGAAAAAAGTATTGTTACACAT